ATCTGGTTGCTTGGCAGATTCCTCAAGCACTTCTCCTAATGCGTTTGGATTTGCCCATGGGCCTTTTATGTGGTTGTATTGCAGATGGGCTGTTTATACAACCTGGTTATCCTGCAAGTTTCCCTTTCTCTCCTCCCCACCCCCCAATAAAAAAGTCTTCACTGGGAAAGAAAATCTTCACTGATTCTTTGACTCACACATTCTTTCTCCAAAAGATAAGATTTTTTATGAGTCTCATAAGTTCTCTGTATTATGACACTACATATAAGCTATCCAGAAGGCTCCCATATATCCACTCGTGCACCCGTAATTCGTATTGCTGTTGTGAATTACATTTAACAATCTAACTGTTGATTTTCAGTGTGTTTGTGTCTGTATTGTTTCTTTGAAAGTGACCAAATATAAGGTTAATTCCCAAAGTAGGGTAAGTTTACCTACTCTTTTAAGCGTAAAATGGATTTGCCTTTCCGCAATCAGTTCTCCACCTTAGGCTTTCAAAGTTCAAATCTGGATTTGGTTATAAGTGAAAATGAGTATGGTGGTCTCAGCCTAGTCCTTAGGGGTTTCTTGTCTGCTGTTCAGAAGAGGCCCAGAACTGGAATTGCAAGGTTGTTGCAGGTCATGATTTAAGGTATATTGTAGAGTTATGTTAGAAAAGTGTGCACAGCAGTTTAGGAATCTCTGTAGACATGTTTTTCAGCTGAATGCTTTCACGTTCAGAACACTGAAAAAGGCAGTGAGCCAAAAGTATGAATTCTGAGTTTTATTTTTACTGACAATTAAATGTTGGAGCCACTTACTCTTTTGCCTGTATGCTTTGCAGTTCCTTGTTGGGTTTGTTTGCCATACAGTTGTAGATTTAACTCTTAAGACAAGTTGATAAGAAAAACAAATTATCATGTTTAACAAATTTCTGGGATTTCAAATCTAGCCCTTTTTGTCCCTTTATTAATTATTTGAGGCAGATTGTGAATAATATTTTAAGTTCTGAATATACATATTAAATTCTTTAAGATGATTAAGTACTTGAAAAATCTTTCTTTTCCTAAAAGGTATATTGCACTTTTTTTGAAAAATAACATTGAATCAACAGCAATATTAATTTTATTTTATATTGTGCTACTATCTTCTACTGCATTATCCTGATAGTTTTAGTGAAGGCCTGCCTAAAATTCTTTTTAAAAAGGGTAGGGAACCTCTAGGGTTGCGGGTGACGCTGTGGTCTAAACCACTGACCCTCTTGGGCTTGCCAATCAGAAAGTCGGTGGTTCAAATCCCCGCGACAGGGGGAGCTCCCGTTGCTCGGTCCCAGCTCCTGCCAACCTAGCAGTTCGAAAGCACGCCAAAAAAGCAAGTAGATAAATAGGTACCGCTCCGGCAGGAAGGTAAACGGTGTTTCCGTGCACTGCTGTGGTTTCGGTGTTCCGTTGCGCCAGAAGCGGCTTAGTCATGCTGGCTACATGACCTGGAAAAACTGTCTGCGGACAAACGCCAGCTCCCTCAGCCTGTAAAGCGAGATGAGTGCTGCAACCCCAGAGTCGTCTGCGACTGGACTTAACTGTCAGGGGTCCTTTACCTTTACCTTTAGGGAACCTCTGGGCCACCAGGTGTTGTTGGACTACAATTTCCATTCTGTCTGACCATTGGCACTTTGGCATCCTGGGAAGTAGGAGTGGTTAATGAGGAGGGGAGCTTTGTGCACCTGGCCTGCTGCCACTTGCCAAGCTGGGCAGGAGCAGAGAGGTGCTGTGTGGACTAGTTGGCAGACGCACCAGACTAGCTCTGTTGATGTGCCCACACAGCACTGACCTCCCCGCTGCCTTGCCCCTTCCTCCTTCTCTTGGTAAGTGAAAACAACTTCACTGCTTGGAGGCCATGTGTGTGACATCACCTCTCACCAGCTGCTCTCACAGGGAAGGAGAAATGCATAACGGCAGAGTCCCCATCTCTGGGAACACAGCTCAATTCTTTCTCACTCCTTAGATGAAACACACAGATGATAGGTAGAATACAAGAATGCAGAGCTGAAAAGCACCTGCATAGTAGTTAAAAGGGACTCATTTGAACATATGCTACCTTCCACGCTAATCTAGCAACAAATAATAGTTTTAAGGAATTTAAAAGGATGGTATAATAAACTCACCATTATTCAGAGTACACACACTGTACTTTTTTTTGTTTTTGTTTTTGCCCCATTGTCATCTCTGGTCAAATAGGCTTTGCAAGTTTTAGATGTATGACTAAAGCCTTCATGAACTGTGAACAAAATAATGATATGAGTGTACATGTATGTAATGGGCAAAAATGGCTTGGCTCCAAAAAGTGTGGAACTCACTTTGTCCAATCCATCCTATAAGGGGCATCCTCAGCTGCCCACTGCAATGGAATGAGATGTGGCATAGGGTGCAGCAACAGGAGGGCGGAATGAAAATAAATTTGAGAGGTGGTTGTGTGTGGGCTTTTGTGTGGTATGTTCCATTCATGCTCTTACCACATATTGTAGAAAGCCAGAAAAACACTGCATTGGGCTACACATAATACACCTTAGTTGCATTATTCAGGATGACTAGAAATAGGCTGTTGATATAAAAAAATTCCTTCAAGTAGCACCTTAGAGACCAAAACAAAAAAAATTCCTTCCAGTAGCACCTTAAAGACCAACTAAGTTAGTTCTTGGTATGAGCTTTCGTGTGCATGCACACTTCTTCAGATACCCTTAGAGACCAACTAAGTTTGTTATTGGTATGAGCTTTCGTGTTCATGCACACTTCTTCAGATACAGTTGATAGAGTTCTTCTGTTGATATAGTTGGTCTTGTGCTAATAGTGTAAGGAAAAAATCTTTTGGGGGAGAGAGATTCAGAGAATGGAGAATCCTCTCTGATGAAGGATTGAAAGATTCTCTCTTTGATGCAGAGGAATGTGTTTCATTAAAATAATATTGATTATAAATCCAAAAATAGTGCTTGCTTCTATGAGCTTTCCTGTTGCATATGGTCATGTTTATAAATTTAGTTTCTCAGTTACACATACATTAGTTTGTTGCCTTGTGTGCTTATACCTTGATGTCTAATTGTAGGGAAGTTGAGTAATGTTCTTGTATTTATATAACCTGTACCCCACTTATCTGCTATCCTCTGTTTCTTTAGTAAGCTGCCTTATAATTTCTCGAATTCAGGAGCAGCTGGCAGTGAGGATTGGCAGTGCACACCTGGCTTCTCAGCTGACATTTGCCATGCCAAGTTTTATACCATGTATTTCACATATTTAGGAGCTATATAAGTCTTCTTAGTTATACACTTAGTGGCTTGCCCACTTAATCATGAATGCTGATTAATCATCACTTAAAAGAAAGACAGGTAGAAATACAAGTTCTTGCCGGGGAGGAGGGCAGCCAGGCAAAAAAGAGGCAGTTCTGGTTTTGACAAGAGGAAGGAAAGTAAGTTTGATTTTTTTGGATCTAGCTGGCAATGAAAACCCTTTTTGGGACTGAAGCAATTTTAAGAATTAGCACTTCCTGTGAGTGTGTCTGCTTCACTCAGCTAAATTTATAAACATAATCTATTATGAAAACATAAATCTGCAGTAGTATCTCCTCACAATAAAACTGACCCTGTGATAGCTACTCCTAGAGCTCCTACCTTCCAGTAGCTTTTTGGGGAGTGTGAAACAATGTATTGTATACCTCCGGAAAAAGTAGAAAATAATACAATACTTATAGAATCTTTGGATCAATAGACAAAAGAGTTGGCATAAGTATTGAGCAGGTAGGAAACAGAAGTCTTTTTCATTTAGTGTTCCTCTGCTCCAAAAAGGCCTGCATTTGGAATTGGAACCAAATTGTACCTTTCTTGGCAAACAAGTTTCCAAATGTTTGTTTGCTGTCACTGCCACAAGAGCAATCTTAAATGTCTCCTTCCCCCAAACCAGAAATAATCCAAATTGCTTTAGAGCCCACCAAAACACCCTGCTCTCAAATGAAGGAACAGTTCAGGGGGGATCATTCCAGCCTTATTATGAAAAGTTTAGTTGCCTGTGCAAATTGATCAGGAAGGTTGCCAAGCAAGTGTTACCTTTGGGAGATTTCCATAGTGTGGGCGACAAAGCAGAAAAGGTCCACCTGTATCAATTTTCATGTAGGCAAATAATGGAGTTCTATATTAGAGAAGGTGTTCCTTTAGTACACCAGACACAGTACATTTCGGACTTTAAACACTTTAATTTGGGCTGAGAAATGCATTGGCAGCCAGTACAGTTGACCTAAAATAGATGCAATATGACCTCTATATCCTCTCCTAAGCTGTAGAGAACTGCACTAGCTGCAGTCTTTGGGTTATCCACATAGGGCACATTGGAGTACTAGTGCATGGGTGACAGGGACCAGATTGATCTCAGAGAGAAAAGGTTGCAGCCATGATAACTGAGGCAGCTAGGAAAAGTTGTCTGGTTCAGTTCAAAACACCAGCAGCCGGGCCGTTAGAAAACGATATATATGAATCCTGAATATGCACCTTACTGTTAATATACACATTTTAGTACTAATTTTAGATACTTTATGCCAAGGCACATCCATATCCAGTGAATGTACTTTTCTTTAAACAGGGTATCAACAAGTGCACCTCCGCACTCCTTGTAGATCCTCAGTGGCTCATAGGGTTCCACCTTTAGCTTGCATGCGTTGAGTTTCAGGGGATGCTGGGTAATATATTTTGAATTGCCCACAGTGGCCATTGCCAACAGGAGAGCATGATTTGGTTGAGTGCTCCTGTTTTCTTCCTCCTTGCTCCTTGGCCTGCCAGTTCTCCACTGATTTCTCTCCAAAACAGTGTTGGGTATGAGGCTGATTATAAGGTACTGCTTGCCGTTTTTCCAGCATTTAATTATCAGGGAAAGTGTTTCTTTTCAGTGTGTATGTAGTTACTATGGCCTCAAAAGGGCCTCTCTGCACACTTCCATTATGTAAATAGTATAGTAATAGTATTACTTTTCTCTCTCTAATAGATCTATGGAAATGCAGGATCTAGCAAGCCCTCATAATCTTGTGGGAAGCAGTGAAACACCTGGTAGTTCTAAACTGGACAAATCTAATCTTAGCAGCACATCTGTTACAACAAATGGAACAGGCGGTGAGTGAACACCTACCTCTTTCAGTTTAAAAACAAAAAGTGCTCTGACATCTTTAGAGACAAACTGGTTTATGGTGGCAATACATCACATTAATGATGAAGAAGTTGAAAGAAAGATATATACCATGAATGATAGCGTAAGGTAATCAGCTGTGTATTAGGTACAGTCCTCTAATATAAAATTTTATAATTAATGCCCTATTCTTTCCCATACTTGTGTTGTTTCCTACCAGCCATGTCTCTTCTGTCTCCAGTATATCTCCATTAATCTCTACCTGTCTTAATGTTAGCCATCCTTCCACCTTCCAACTATTTTTCTTGCATTGCAATTTGGCCTGCACTTTAAGCTTGCTGAGGCTATTTGTACCAGCATCTTCCTGCATCTCATTATCCAAACACCCAGCCTGGTGTTTGCTTTTAATCTTCTTATTTAAAAATTGCCGAGCCTATTCTGTTCATCCAAACAAGACATGAGTGATCCTTTCGATCATAAAATTGTCATTCATAAGACAATTTTAGTGAGAGTCTGCAGCATTTGAGTAAATTTTAAAAGTTCATTATACTTCTAGGGCACAGAAAGGGCGACTTTGTATCATTTTCATATTTCTAAAAGTAAATTACCTTTCAGAAAAAAGATGTGTACAGGAGGTTGAAACCAGACTTAATCATGTTTAGCGTAGACCAATTGAAATCAGTGATGGGTCAAAAGCAGCATGACTAATTCTGGATTAAACCCAACATCAATATGTTTAATCAAAGTTTATTTTGCTTTTAAGGATTTTATGTTGTATGCCAAAGTCAACTAGTGAGTTTCTAAGGTGTCACAGCACTTTTTGTGGTCTCACTGACAGACTATAGCCTGACCCACATGTTATACTGCTGCTTGTTGCAGCAGCCTCAGTGTGGTGTCTTATCCACTTAGTAGTTGTAACATATCTTGCTAGTTTCCTTATGATACTTCTAACTGCCATGGGGATTTTTATGCTGTTGTAGCTTGTTCAGTAACTTGGCAGTGGTTCACAGTGGCATAAATTCTGCATGGCAAGCAGAAGACTCATATAAGCAAAGGCATCACACATTACAGGAAGGGTAAGAGTAAGGCAGAGGCTTTTTTCAGTGTGTGTGTGTGTGTGTGTGTGTGTTGCTTAACAAAAATGTTCTTAAATCTGTTTAATTTTAGTTGGCTCATAAAATATTTGTGCTAGCCTGCAAGTCCACATATTTGCTACAGTATTTTAACTCACAGATTATCAAAGCACAGCTCAGCCAGATATCTGAGCAATACCTTTACATTTCATTTTGTGCATTCATTTCCATTTACCTTTATTAAAAGGAAAATTAAACCGAAGGAGAAAATATATAAAGTACTGAGCTTACCGTGCACTTCATCCTATTTGACACAAGTGAGTCACCTGTTGTATCCATGTTCCTGGGTGCATTTTAAATGAACCAAGTTGCTTTTTTACTAACTCATGCTTTAGATTTTTCTAGCCCAGTGTTTGACTGTAACACAATGACGCTCCAGGTTCCTCCATGGTGGAGGTCTTTCTCAGACTTTCTGCAGGCAAAGCATGTGAAGTACTACTGAGATTTGGGCTCTCCCTTGTTGGACGTATATCAATGAGTAAAAGAACCAGGGCATACAGGACTTTATCAGAACATTTTTTTAACTGGCCAGACTTGCTTGGTTTTGGAATTTAAAAACAAAATTAGTTGTAAATAATGTAATACTATATTTGCCTTATACAAAAGTGAATTTCATGCCTTTGTCAGGTTGTATAGCTTAAGGAAAAAAAACACGATTTTTGAGTGTATGGCATGAGCCATTATCAAGAGGCACTAAAATTGAAAGAGCTAGTGGTTTGCTTGTGCATGTGTATGAGTGAGAGAGAGAGAAATAGAGATGGATTTTTTGAAGATTCTATGATTCAGTATCAAGTGGACTAAGGGTGAGTATTCACATGGGTTTGTTTGGATGCAGAATTTGTCATGCTTAGTTGGCCAACTAAAATAAATGGCACTTAGTTAATAGACCACTTCAAGCATGACAAAATCTGGATTCAATCAGTACATTTTTATATGTATAATGCTCCCTATCATACAAATGTGTGTCCAAATGGGATAATACACTTACACCTGGGGTTCTGTGTCCTGATAGTATTATAATGGAATCTGATGTATGTGTGTGGCTTTTTTTGATTTGGTATCCAGAGACATGTTACTGAAAACAGGGATATTTATTTTATGTGTCTTTGTGACAGAAGCACCACACAAACAAGTACTATATGTGATAATTCACCCCAGTAGTCCTCCTTAAAAATGCTCTAGAGAATTTTCTTTCCTATTTTATTTTATTTTTTTTGAAAATTGTTGCTGTATGTTAAGCAGATATTCAGAAAATGAACCACTATATACCATTCCAATTCTCAGGAGACAACATGACTGTTTTAAACACTGCAGACTGGTTACTGAGTTGCAGCACTCCCTCTTCTGCAACAAGTATGAGCAATCCTGGTATATTGCATGTGTGTGACTAGCTTCTTGATTGCTGTGTTGAATCTATGATATTTTGCTTTATTCTTTTTGATTTGACATTGCACAGCTTTCTCGTCAGAACCCTTTAAATATTTTGAGAGATACAGAGATTGTAATGTTTTACAATAACAAAGTATTTCTAATGTATTCTATATCTATCTGTCTGTCTGTCTATCTATGTGCCCATAGAAAAATCAAGTCAGTGTGCCCATAGAAATATCAGATCACTTGGTTTCTTATAAACGTTGATATTTACTAAATCATTGTGAATGTGCCATATATTCTTAGAAAGAATCTACAAACTGTTTTTGGCGTATTCAAGTTTATATTTGTAGCAAAGTTCAGATATTTCTCCAGCAGAGGGAGAAATCCTGCAGCAGATATTTCTCTGGCAGCAAGGGAAATAGATTGCTTGTAGTTCCTAGTTATATTGCTAATTTTCCACTGCCATACAAAGAGCTGTGTTCCAACATGTTATAATCTCCCAGCATCCTCTGACCAGCTATGTTGAGGGAAAATTATATTTTTCTGCAGAATTCACATAACATTCCCAACATTCCTTGCTTACCCCTTCTATACTCTTCTGGTTGCATCTCTCCTTTCCCACCACGAGGGATCCCTACATACACTGACTTTCTCTTGTAGCAATGAATCGGTTTCTGCGTCTTCTGAACCTCATTGTTTTGCAAGCTGTAGTGGCGCACTGTGATAGGTTGAACTTTGGTGAATGGTGGGTTGGCTTATTCTGCCTTTCAGCAGGATAGAGTTGGGTAATCATTTTTGTTGTATATACTCCCCACTTTCAAATTTGTAGTGAGCATCTCATGTTTCTTTTTAAAAAGCAAACAGGATTTCCCTTGACAGCAAGATTATTACAACACCTCATGGGTTTCTGTGCAGTTTCTCAAACTATTGATGCAGTTTTCAAAATACTGCCATTGTAGCAATATAGGAAAAGTTGTGCCCCTTGTTTTTGTTGTTTAATCTGCACAAAATGTATTCCAAATTACAAGTATTTTAAGTGTTTCAGGAATTTTTAGGGTGGATAAACCAAGATGTAATTAAAGTATTTAGGCTCTTCCTCCTTTTCTCTTCCTTCCCTTTTTCTGAAGTATTTCATTAAGATTCTAATTTTATTTAACTAATGTTCAGCCGTCAAAATGTGGAACATAAATTTTGTAGACAGAGAAGTAGAATTGGCAGTCTACTCATATCTGACACAGATTATGATTTAGTGCAGCTTGCACAAGTTTTGAGTTCATGTGTTCTCCCTGCTTTTCTCTTTCTTTTGGTATGACTGCGAGGAGGAGATTGTTTCTGTTTTCAAATAATTGGAATTTATTGTTATGTCTGAACCCGAACCTGTAGTTAATCTTAACTATGGTATAGGGAAACCGACCAAGATTATAAACCACAATTGGAATTGGATTGTTTCCCTAAACCATAGTTAAGAGTAATAATTCGTCCAGGTTAGAATATAAAAATATTTTGCTCTTAGTTAAAAATAGAAGCAGAAGCTTACAATCTCTTCCTCTTGGCTGTGATGAAGATGTAGAAGGGAGGGAGAAGCTGATGAAACCAGGGTTCATGCATGCAACACTAAAACATGGTTTAGGCACTGCATTTGAATGCGTCCATGTATAGCTTTCCTAGAATCATAGAATTGTAGAGTTGGAAGCGACTCTGAGGGTCATCTAGCCCAACCCCCTGAGATGCAGGAATCTCAATTAAAGCATCCACGACAGATGTCCATCCAACATATGTTTAAAACGTCCAAGGAAGGAGAGTTTCACTGTGGAACAGCTCTTCCTGTCAGAAAGTTCACCCTGATGTTTAGTCTGAATCTCCTTTCATGTAACTTGATTCCATTGGTTTGAGTCCTAGCCTCCAGAGCAGGAGAAAACAAGCTTGCTCTATCTTACATGTGACAGCTATTTAGATATTTGAAGATGTCTCTCATATCTCCTCTCACTCTCCTCTTTTCCAGGCTAACTTATCCAACTCCCTCAACCATTAGTTGCCCTCTTCACATGTTCCAGCTTGTCAATATCCTTCTTAAATAGTGGTGCTCAGTAATGGACACAGTACTCTAGGTGTAGTCTGACAAAGGCAGAATAGAGCAATATTACTTCCTTTGATCTGGACACTATACTTCTGTTGATGCAGCCTAAAATAGCATTAGCTTTTTTTTGCTGTTGCATCATACAGTTGTCTCATGTTAATCTTGTGTTCTACTAAGACCCCTAGATCCCTTTCTCCATATACTACTGCCAAGCTAGGTGTACCCCATCTTATATTTGTGCACCTGGTTCTTCCTGCCTAAGTACAGAATCTTACATTAATCCCTATTGAAATTCATTTTGTTAGTTTTGGCTAAATTCTCCAACCTGTTAAGATCATCTTGAATCCTGATTCTGTCTTCAGTGGCATTGGCTACCCCTCCCAGTTTGGTGTAATCTGAAAATTTGATAAGCATCCCCGCAATACCTTCAGCCAAGTCTTTTATAAAGATGTTGAACAACACCAGGCCCAAGACAGACTCCTGCAGCAGCCCACTTGGCCCCTTTTACCCAGGATGACAAGGAACCATGAGCATTCTTTAGGTTTGGTCAGCCAACTAGCTACAAATCCACCTAATAGTTACCACGTGCAGCCCACATTTTACCAACTTCTCTGCCAGAATATCATGGGACTTGGTCAAAAGCCTTACTGAAATCAAGATACAGTGGTACCTCGGTTTATGAACTTAAACCATTCCGGAAGTCCATTCTTAAACCAAAACCGTTCTTAAACCGAGGCACGCTTTCCCTAATGAGGCCTCCCGCCACCAGTGCCCTTCCACCATTCGGATTCAGTTTTTAGACCAAGGTAAAGTTCACAAACCAAGACACTATTTCTGATTTTGTGGAGTTTGTAAACCAAATCGTTCTTAAGCTGGACTGTTCTTAAACCAAGGTACCACTACATCCACAGCATTCCCTTTTTGTAACTTCTCATGCTTAACTTCTCATGCTTAAGTTCAAACAAATTTTACTGATGAATGTTTTTGTTGTAGATGTGAAGCAAGTGAATTCTCAGAAGCAAACTTTAAGAATAGGAAAAACCAGTTTGGTTAGCATTTCAGTGCAAACCAATGTTTATTCACACCTTTGCAACCAATGTACAAACTGAAACATAGCTAGCCTTCAAAAATCTCATGACTTTGTGATGCAGTCTTTCACCAAAAAATGTGTACCAAAATATGCACATTGCATAAGAGGGAGTCAATTGCAATTGTTTGAAGTAATGAAATGAGTAGTTTAGATTTAAAAATACATACAAACATGCATGCTTAGGATAAATATGTATGACTTTTAAAACATGCAGACTTTTAAAAAATTAAACCCCAAACACATACAGAAATCAGGTAAATGGAATTGAAGATTGGAAGAAGTACTAGCTGACCATTGTAGACTTATTTAAATAATGTATACTTGCATAAGGTTTATAAAATACACAGATCATGTGAGGACCAATCCAGTTCAAAAGGTAAAGTTCATATATTGTGAATTAATAGATTTATTTCCAGCCTTACCCATGTGAGTTGGATAACTAATGTACCCTTATCTCACATGCTGCTATTTTGAAGTAGATTTGACTAACAACCCTGTGGTAAAGAACAGACGAAAAAATATCCAGATGTGATTGTCTGGATTAAAAGCCCTGAGAGACATCAATTTGCCCTATATCATCCTCTGATCTTCATTGGTTGAACATAGATTTGAGCCTAGTTTTCCATCTCCAACCCCAACCACTGCAATAGCCTGTTTATCTATGCATGGCATGCTTGTTTTGTTGAATCCGTACCCTGATCTTTGAGTTGCAAAACATAATACCTGGATTTATCTTCCCAATCCCCTTTTTATAGGAAGGAAACTTGACACTTCACAGTGTGAAGAATCTGGCAATTGTAGGAAGCAATTTATTCTCCTTTCATGGCTGCCTGCTGGCTGTGAGACAGAGCCTTGTAACTAATGTTCTATCTTTCTAATGGTCTCCGTTGCTTATTTTTTTATAAATACACTAACTTCAATCATAGCATTACTTTTCCTCTGTTTCACAGCCTGCAATAAAAACTGAAATATATAAACCAACCACGGGCCTTTTGAGAGTTTTCAAAAACGATATGTTTTTCTTAGTGCACTTCACTTGTTCTAACATAAATCCAGCAACAGTATTGCAACTGCATGTTCCTATATAATAGAAATGGGCTAGGGGGATGGGGATAAGTCTTACAGGGGATATGGAGAAATAGCAATTTATTCCTATTGCTTTAAATATATATATCAGAGCAATAGGTTCCCATGATCTGGCAAAGTGTTCAAATAACTAAATAAGAGAAGGTCCACAAATAAGTGTTGCATTTGGCAGGGAGTTGGGGATAGCCCTGTGGGTCTTTTTTATAGGTGTATGCTCTCATGCTAGTGTAAAACTTCGGTAAGTTACTTAACCTCTAAAGAAAATACTTTAAAAAACTAAAACGTTTCAAAATGTCATGGCAGTGTAGAAGGCCACCACTTACCAAAGGCACAGAGATTGATGGCATACATTTACACCTTGCCTCATTCTGCATTTGGGCAGCTCTCACCATAAAATCAATCAATCGGGTTTAATTCAATGGTGTCTGTCCACTAGTGAGATGACTCTGTTGGCAGAATAGATTTCCTGCTGCTGCTTGCCATTCTGCCCAAAATCTGTTCTGGAAGGTTGAGAGACCTTTCACAGCAGATTGTGAGGTGAGGTGAGGTTGGATGCAGTAAGGAACAGGGAAAGAAGTCCCATCACTCAAGCAGAAATCATTTCACACAACATTGGATGTCTTACACATGTCTGATAATAAGTAAGCCTATTGACTTACTCCCAAGTAACAGCATATAGGATTGCAGCCTGAATAGTTAAAAATAAAGCAGATCATTTGTTTGCTTTAGAAAGCATATTTTTAAAAAATTAAATGTATACTCTTAAAAGATCAAAACTGCTGTAAAGAGAGATAATGAAACATACCATAAAACTATAAGTAATATAAAGCAATACAGATGGAAACACATTGTTTAAACTACATCAAAATGTCACAGGCATCATCCAGTAGGTTTCCATGATGATTTGATAGGCAAGCAGCAATCACAATTGACAAGAGCAGCTAGTAGAAAGAAGTCTATTTTTTCAGTGGCAAAATATTTTAGTTGAAAAATTGATTTGCCTCCCACAGAAATATGTATGTTGAGAGAAAGCATTTGGATCTTGCACAACAAATGGATAATGATCATGTATTTATTGCACAAAAGATAGTTTGAAAAGATCCTATCTCATTATATTAGTTAGAATAATCTTTGGAAGATATGTTTAGAAAAACCATGGTTCCTGAGGGCCTACTTTCTCCTCTTGGTAAGAATAGATCTGCTGATGTGCCAGTGTATTTATTCAGAGAAATTTGAAAAGACACTAAATAAAGAGCTGGGACCTGCGGGTATAGGGCGGAATATAAATTCAATAAATAATATTACAAAAATAATAAGAATGCAATAATATTGTTTTACTTGCTCAAAATATTTGTGTTTCCTTTTTATCCATGGTCCTTCATGGGTGGAATTTAGACTGGATTTATATTAAAGCATATATGGATAAATATTGGCTTTTCCTTCTTTTTCTTTTTGAAAAAGAGAGCAAGTGCATGGTTTTTTAAAGCTACAGTTGTGTTATTCTCAGAATCATATTAAACAGTTTGCACATTTGTATATATTTTTTGATCCACTCATGCAGATTTTTGCTATAGTTTGCATGGTAACTTGTGTGTAAATTTTTGAAGTAAAAACTCATGTTTGCTTATTTTTCTATGTAGTGTCTCTTCTTGCAGTCAAAACAGAACCTATGAACAGTAGTGAATCAACAGCAACAACAAGTGGAGATGGATCTCTTGACACGTTTACTGGGTCAGGTAAAGGCATAATATACTCATTGTATTGTAAACTCAGTTTTGGTCAGTTACTCTTATCAAAATAAGGATGCATAATCAAAGTTCCTTAATAACAATTAAGTTATCTTTTTACTTCCCTGATAAAGTAGTTAAAAGTCATGGTTAGTGGAATAACCAATCTTTGGTTAAAACTTAGGTAGCAGAGTTCAGAGTGCTAATATTGAATGGCCCTGTGTTTGTAGCAGGAGGGCAATGACTCCTTGAGGATCTCTTCTGTACCCTAGTGAGCAAAGAGGGGAGACCGTTTGCAGCAGCAGCAACATGCCCATGACAACAGAGAGCAACTGAGACACCTGAATGTCAGACAAGACAAGGAGCTATCTGGAGAGGTGGAGGGATCCAGGCCAGCCTCAAAACCAAAGACCATTTTTAACTCTGCTTCTGTGGGAGAGAGAATTCCTGGGGTTCCAAGAGCCTCCACCCGCTGCAAATAATGTGGTTTCAAACAGGCCTGCTGCCCCTTCTGGCTCTCAAGCAGACTAAGGCAATAAGTTCCCCACTGACTTTGCCTTCCTCTGCTTTCCCTTCTGTCTAAATAGCTGCACTGCATGAGGCCCAGCAAATGCCACTAATGAATGGTCCATAACTCATCAGTCTCTGTTGTTGCCATCTCTGGCAAAATGTAGTACAACAGCATCAAGAAAGAGCTCCTTTCACTCAGTTTTCTAGTAAATAAAACAGTGAGTTAGCGGCAGCTCTCACAGCAACTTCTCAGCACAAAAATGGACACCAATAAAATGAAACACTGTCCCTGTCTCAAGAGAGAACGGTCAAAATCAGTGATTCATCTACTAACAAATTCCTCAGAAGACCTGATGGCCCTAGCCAAGATACTGCAGGTGATGGTATCTACCATCCAAGTAACACCATGGGTTAGGTTCCAGACCAGGCCTCTACAGTGAGCACTGTTTCCATACCAATTCCTCATCACATTCAGTAAACACATAGTTTTTCCCTTCTACATTCTCTTAGTCTTACGGAGTATGGATTCATACATTTTTGTTGTCCTAGCTTGAATAGGGGTGTAAGTGTGGTATTACATAATTTCCAAATTGCTGTCTGTGTCTGTTGTGTCTGTCTGTCTGTTGTTGTTGTTGTTATTGTTATTTGTACTGGGCATGGTCACTATGGCTGTGCTTACATTGTGAGGTAGAGGGTCCATTATTAGATCTGCCAGTTAAATCTGCCAGTTAGATCTTGAGGGTGGAATGGATCCCCCCCCTGGAAGAGGAAGCAAAAGACTTGAAAGGTCCTGCCTATTTGGTCCAGTGGGAGGAGTCATTCTATTCGTGAAATGTCCTCCAGTCCTCTCTTCAAACAGAAATTCATGGTAAGGACCAATTTCCAGTTTCTATTATATTGAGATGGAAATTTTAAATTCAGCTAATGAGCTTGTTGATGTAGCCAGGTTTCCAAAGAATTGCATTAGGGAGCTCAGAGCCCTTCATGTGCCATTGGGATTTTTTATTTTATTTATTTTTGCTTTGATCAACAGGGTCCCATGCTGTCATGTGAAATAGTGGGTCCATGCTCTTCAAGAATCTCAAGCCCAAAACTCCCTTAAGCACCTAGAACTAGTTGTCCAGTTCTTTGGATCCTGCCCATAGTCTATTTCACAAAATAGTGAGGAACTATTCCATGTTTGTGCAATTCTGAAGGCTGTTTGCTAGTACCATTATGACATATTGAAGAAGGGTAAACTTTGAAGTACAATTATGATCGATTAGACGAAAGAAATTCCAGAGCTACTTCATGTACTGCTTTAATCTTTTTCAAAAGTGAATGAACAGCAGATGGCCTAATAAAGATACTCTGTATATTTGCCTAGTATGGATTTGCTGTGAAGGCATTGGTTCAAAGTTTTAGAATACATATATTTGGAACACATCTGTCTTAGTCAAGACAGATTGTTAGAGGAAAGAAACTTCAAAATGTTTGGATTCAGTCCAGGCTGGGCAGTACTCTTGAAATATTTTTAATAGGATATGATTGTCATAATTTAAACTTGCCTAGAAATATACAGCTGCTCTTTGTATAGGCATGTAGTTAGTTGATGGCTACTGTACTAGACCACTTGATTTTTTCTGTGTAAAATTAAATAGGTGTGCTACATCTATGGGGTGTGTGGAAATAAAGCAAGTCCTGGTGGCAGCCCTCCTATAAATGGAGATAATCAGATATATTCATCGTGCAATAGTACCAACATAAGCCCAGGTTCCAAAGAAATGGACCTAATGTTTTCTTTTCTTGTTTGTTCTAAACTGACTTTACTTTGGACTACAGTCCTCTGTTTTGTCCTGCATAGCTTTTGAAAATCAGCTAAGTTTGAGAAGTAGATCGTGATATATGGCCTGGGGCTCAGCTGTTAAAAAATGCCGCTGCATTAATAAAAATCTCTTGTGCGAGCTTTGTATTATGACCCTATTTATCTAGCCTCCCCCCCCCCCATTTTTTAAAAATCAAATCAAAACTTATTTCACATGAACAGTTGCCCCAAAGTTATTGCTATGTGTCTAGAACTGTGCTGGCATCCCTGTTCACACAGACTTCCTTCCCATGTAAGCAAGTTTCCTCAGTCACTGTGGTGGAGATGGCAGTTCCATTCATCATTTAGCATTGCATGCATAACATGGCTTCCCATCCTCTCCTTATTGAATCCCTTGGAAGCACAGAATCTACTATGGGCATGGAGTCTCTACACTAGAATGACTGGCCCAGTATGGTAAACAATCGCAACTCAGTCCATGGAGGTAAATAAATTAATGCCACTGGTTCTGATGTGCCAAGTGTGCAAAACCATGCTTTATGTGTAGGTGTGGTATGGTTTAAGTTCACATGGTAATAGATATGAAGCCAAACCTAACCCCAAACATCTCCAGAGTTTGTCACAATAGCATGGACAATAGACTTCTATGGTTCCTACAGTTTTGTATAAGGAATTATATTTTTATTAGAAAATGCTAGTTTCATGAAGTATTTGCCAATATTGCAAATTGTGTGCCTAGGCACAGGGAGCTTGTGGCTGGTTGGGGCTCAGAATAGGAAGATGAATAGAGAGACAGGACAAAGTATTGGGTTCAAATAGGCCACAACTTTATTGCTTACAGATGTAAGTAGGCTTTGGTGCAGACAATGGGTATGTATCCTGAATCAAGCAACCAACTGCAGGTTGATTATTGGCTGCGTCGACCCTAGGTTAAGGATCATCCTATGAATACAGTGAGGGAGTATTTCCATAGCTAAGTGTCATGCCTGGCCTGCATGCTCACCTTCGGGGCAGCACCAAAGTCTGTTGCATCGGGTGTGAGCGTGGGGAATCCAACTCCAACTGAGCTGGCTGGAAGAGATGCAGCTTGACTAAATACCCAGCAAACGGACCTGACTGAAGTCCAGAGGCTTGTATGGTTCATTGCACAGGCCATGGTTGGTTCATTCAAACAGGCAGGCACGCAACAGCCTGTGTGACTGGGAAGAAGGGTGACATCCTCCAATAGTTGCACAAGCAGGAAGGAGGGATCCAGGCTGGTCCACAGCTGTGCTGAACGCAATTGCTGTGTGCCACCATTTGACAACTGTCACACTTATTCATTTGTGGCCTACAAGGGAAAAAAGAGCCAGCTTTTTAAAAATCTCTGTATGTAATTACCTCTTAATTCTACTCACCACAATTGACTAGGCAAGTGGTTATTTTTAAGTCTCACTTGTGTTTTGAATACTGTAATATGTTACTTTAAAACTTGTATTACTTGAGAAACTTTGTTGCATCTGAAACAAACACATTGTGTTTTGAGGTCCCCATCAGTAAACATAACAAGTATACCATACCCTTGTTAGGCCACCTGGCGAGGTTGGTGGGCTTCATTTGTGGGTCACCAGTTGTGCAGGAGTGATGGAACAGAATATTGGACATCATACTCAGTGGCTTTTATTCGTTTTAGGTTTCTAGCTACAAATATAGAACATAGCTGTTTAAATGTTGTCTGGTTCATAGCAACTTTGATCAGAGCAGTCATACTTTGATTCAACAGTTTTTATATTGTTTATAAAATACCGCATTTTTCTGTGTATAAGACAATGTTTTTTTGCTATACAAAATTGGGGGTTCTCTTATACATGGATAGAGAATTCACGGGTTTGGGCTCAGCCTCTACCGTGGGTGGCTTGGATTTTGGTTCTGGCGTGGGCAGAAAAATATGGTACTTTGTTGGCTCCAAATATTCTCATACATTGAACATTCTGTACTCTTGGTTTTTTGCAGTAATAACAAGTAGTGGCTACAGTCCAAGATCATCACATCAGTATTCGCCTCAGCTATATTCTTCCAAGTTAGTGAGCATGCACCTTCTTACATATTACTGCATATCATTTATTTTAGGTCATTTATTTAAAGAATATTAAAAGTAACTGTTTTGTTTTATATAAAATGCATTTTATGTAATCTGAGTGGTCATTCAGTTCAATGGATACCAAAGGAATTTACTTGTTTGTAACTTCTTTAGCAACGGGAATCAAGATATAAGATTCCTCTAAACCAGTGGTGTCCAAACTTTTTTCAAAGAGAGCCAGATTTGATGAAGTGGAGGGCCGTGAGGCCAACCAAAGTTGTTAACCTTTTTTGAAGATTGAAGATGTTGAGCTTTTTTTAGGATTTACCCCAGGAAATAAACTGCCACAGGGGCCGAATTAAGCTGACCTGCAGACTCGATTAAGCCCCCGAAACGGACTTTGGACATGCCTGCTTTAAACATATTTTCAATGTATCTCTGCAATGAATAACTATTGCTTGCCTTCATAGTGTATAACTGTAAAGTAGGTTTCAATCTATAAGCCACAATTATTTTAGCCCAGAATAATTTTGTAACAGTCAATGTGGCTTTATAGGGCTGTATCAGTAGTGTCCCTTGCTCTGACAGAAGACTCTTTGATATGGCAGAGGCTTCTATTAATAGAATAGGTAGGCAATTTTTTCTGATTTCCCCTCCTTCCTGCAACTCTCACATTCCGTAAAATCTACTTGAGAAGGTTAGCAGTCTCATGGGAGCAGACCAGGAACTTAAGGAGGAGAATTGGTGAAAATTGCCTTCCTCTCTGTTCCACTGGCAGAAGCCTCTGCTGGATCAAAAAGTTGTGTCTGTGTGAAGGTCACCATCGTGTGCAACCCATAGTAGCTTAAATTAATAATGATAGTTAATTTTTTATTTGCAGTTTTGGCCTTAGTGTGGAAAAGAACAATTTAACTATGATATGGTAGTTATTACATATAAAGTCATTACAGTTTAGCTTTATTTTAATAATCTGTTACTTAAAGTGTAATATGTTGCATTTTATGTAGGAAAAATGTATGCCAAAAATGTGAAAGTAGTTTTAAAAAGAAAGCTGAAATGAAAAATAAATGAAATTAATAATATATTTAGCCATGGATTTTAAAGGGTATGTTTCATTTAAATCAGCTTTTCTGGGTATTCATAGAATCATAGAATCATAGAATCATAGAGTTGGAAGAGACCACAAGGGCCATCGAGTCCAACCCCCTGCCAAGCAGGAAACACCATCAGAGCACTCCTGACATATGGTTGTCAAGCCTCTGCTTAAAGACCTCCAAAGAAGGAGACTCCACCACACTCCTTGGCAGCAAATTCCACTGTCGAACAGCTCTTACTGTCAGGAAGTTCTTCCTAATGTTTAGGTGGAATCTTCTTTCTTGTAGTTTGGATCCATTGCTCCGTGTCCGCTTCTCTGGAGCAGCAGAAAACAGCCTTTCTCCCTCCTCTATGTGACATCCTTTTATATATTTGAACATGGCTATCATATCACCCCTTAACCTCCTCTTCTCCAGGCTAAACATGCCCAGCTCCCTTAGCCGTTCCTCATAAGGCATCATTTCCAGGCCTTTGACCATTTTGGTTGCCCTCCTCTGGACACGTTCCAGTTTGTCAGTGTCCTTCTTGAACTGTGGTGCCCAGAACTGGACACAGTACTCCAGGTGAGGTCTGACCAGAGCAGAATACAGTGGCACTATTACTTCCCTTGATCTAGATGCTATACTCCTATTGATGAGGCCCAGAATTGCATTGGCTTTTTTAGCTGCCGCGTCACACTGTTGGCTCATGTCAAGTTTGTGGTCAACCAAGACTCCTAGATCCTTTTCACATGTGTATTCATGTTAATTAAATTCATGTTAATTATTGGGTATTCATGTTAATTAAATTCATGTTAAAACATGGGTATTCATGTTAATTAAATTTCATTTTAATTATTAACCATTCAGTATAAAGTATGCATTTCAAAATATGTTAGTAATTCCTTTTAAGAAAAAAAAAGTGGGTGGTTTTGTGTAATGTGCATTATTAGTTAAATGCTTCAAGTATTTTCAGTGATGCTTTGTATAGTCCCACTCTGTGATGACTTGAACTTGAGGGCAATCTTTTATTACATGCTCATATGTGGTAGACTGATAAGTATAGCAGTTTACTGATCTTGCTGTTGTTCAGCTATTGCTTATACCGTACCTCTTATCTAGATATATGTTGAGATTGGGAGTGGACTTTGGGTTTATGAGCATCATTTCTGCTATCTTCTCTGTCCCCTCGTTCACTGTGCATAAAATAAATGCTCAGACTAGATCCAGTGGTGTGTTTTTTAAAAAGAGACTTTTAAGAAAAAAGGAAATTCAATATTTGTGGTCACATAGAAATCCCACATTCTAATAAACATAGAATCACACGGTTTAGATTTTCACTTTTATTCATGGCTTGGGCTTCCCTGAAATGTACATAGACTTGAAGAGGAAAGTTTAAAGAATGACAGTCTTTCCTACTTTCTCTCTCAGCTCTGTGTGCTTTTCAAGGTTCGTATTGATTCTGCTGGTTCTGACTTTCTTCCAGTTTGCCTTCATGAATAATTGTGAGGAGGAGGAATGAGAATATGTGGGATTGTCTATTTGTTTGAATAAACTTGATATGTATATATTGTCACTTGTGATGATATTTCCCCCCCCCCTGTTCTCTAGGCCCTATCCACATATTCTTTCTACTCCAGCAGCACAGACAATGTCTGCCTATGCCAGTCAGACCCAGTATTCAGGAATGCAGCAGCCAGCAGTGTATACAGCCTATTCACAGACTGGGCAACCTTACAGTTTACCCACTTACGGTATTTGACCTCAAGTTGTACTTTATTCTTATTCCAAGTATTTTTGACATCATGGAACTGCTGTTCTTTCCCCCATCTATAAGAATCAGATGAAAATTAATTTCTTATGCAGATTTGGGTGTAATGTTGCCAGGCATCAAGACAGAAAGTGGACTTTCACAAACGCAATCACCCTTGCAGTCCGGGTGCCTTAGTTACAGCCCAGGATTCTCCACACCACAGCCAGGCCAGACACCATATTCATACCAAATGCCAGGTCAGTCACCTATTGTCCTTCCTTGCTCTTTAGTGTTATCTTTGAACCAATTCAGTATCTATGTATTATTTATGTGATAAGTATCTTGAGTGAAACTTCATGTCACCTGATAAACTCTTTCATTACAGTTACGATAGCTGTCTGTTGTTTAAATGAATGATAATCTGAAATTCTGCCAAGATAATTTTGTTGATTATTTTCTAATTCTTTATCATAATTCACTTTTAATATTTGTGAATAACAGCCTCATGTACCGTGTTAACAAAGTTATTCATAAATTATCTGATGACAACATTTAATACACCAGTGGGTTACTTTAAAACTGAAAATACCTTCTTGAGAATGACATAGACAACAATCCTAACTAAGCCAGCCACATGTGAAATGATCCTTTGGGCATATCTCTCGATGCCAGCATATCCTGTTGTCTATTGTATTTGGCATTCAGTTCTGAAATTGGGAGATCTCTGACAGGACATTAAATCATTGAGCATATACATGTTCTAAGCATTTAGATTGTGTTGGAGTCTACATTTGGAACAATCATGTGGCCCTTCTTCCCATCTTGTTTGCTCCTTGTTATGCTGATAAAGGAAAATGGTGATACCTAGGGTGCAGGAATTCTAAAAATTCTGTTCTGCCCCTAAAATACCTTACAAAATGAAGGGATACAGAAGGACTTTCTGTACCTTCTCTTCTGTTTTAGCACATTAGTAAAGTGCATGGGTTGCCAGCTGCAGCCTCTCACGATTGCAATAAAAATAAAAATCAAGTAAGGGGACCGGGAATCTGCTGCAACCAAAGTTGACAGTTATTAGGTTAGTGTGTATTAATTGAATGTTTTCTTAGATTTTTATCACATCATAGACCTTTTAGTCCTATGAACCATAAGTTTGATCCATTCTTAATTATGCTTGGAGTGGATCCACTGACATCACCCAGACTTCAGTGATAACTAGCTCAAGTTCCATTGCTGTCTAAGTAAGAACAAGTCTGAATCAAATTCTATATTCAAGATCAGTGTCCTTATCCTTGCTCCCCCCCCCAACCTTCTTTTCCAAGCCATCCACCATATTTCATTAGTGTGTCATTGAAACTGGATTCCAGGAGGGGAAATGGCAGGAAAAAGAAGAAAAGAAGCTGTTGAAAGAGAACAAGGACTCACCGATCTACAGAGTGAAATTTGAGTGCATAGATTTCTTCATTAGTGCTTCTGTGAAGCTGGATTGTTCTATATGGAAATCATAGCATAGAATTAAAGCTTTGGCAACTAGATTTTTAAAGCAGAAGATGGCATTGTTTATGGTATATAGTTATAAATAATGATCTCTTCAATGAAATATCAGAATAGCTAATATTTGCATATTTCACTTACATATTGTTTATATTTATATATGAAATCTTCAGATTTTTTACTTTTGATTTGTCTGCATTGTGCATAATGTATTACTTATTTCTTATACAGAATTATTCTTTTAACTCTAGGTTCTAGTTTTACACCATCCTCCACTATTTATGCAAACAATTCAGTCTCAAATTCTACAAACTTCAGTAGTTCACAACAGGTATGATTATTACTATTTCTATAAACTTCAAAGTATATTTTATTTGACTTAGCAATTTTAAGTATTTTGAATGGACTGGACAAGAATTTATTTCACATTGCTGTATTTTAGATGGGAATGCTTAGAAAATCTTGCTAGAATTTAAAACATTGTTTCTATCATTCTAGGATTATCCATCATATACAACTTTTGGCCAAAACCAATATCCACAGTATTATTCAACATCAACATATGGAACATATATGACCTCAAACAACACCACAGATGGTACCTCTTCTTCATCATCAACGTACCAGCTCCAGGAATCTCTCCCTGGGCTCACTAGTCAACCAGGTACAGATCTTCATCCAGGTGAATGGTTTTTTGTTTCATCCATTTTGAAGTGGTGTTCAGAATTTCAAATATGACATAGGTAAATTTTACTTAGAATCCGTTATTAGTAAACCATTAAGAGTTTAAAAAGGGAAGTATAGAAATTTGAAAGTAATGATATAAAAATCCTTACTGGAAAGAAAAGGAAATAATCACAAGATCTTAGAGAAATAGCATTTGAGAGCCAAATTACACGTGATGTAACTATGCAGCATTTATTCTGGAGACTAGCAATGGGAGTCTAATCCAGAATGTGTTCCTGGTCTTCATTGAAGCCATTTTTTGGGCTGAAAATAATCTTCACCTGACTGCTGTTTGTCCTGAAGTTGCTGACTTCAGGAAAGAGTCAAAAGGTACCCAGGAGAGAGGAAAACAGTGGAGAACCAAATCCCCAAGCAAGGATGTTCTAGATCGGGGCTCCATGGTTGCTATTTCTCCAAAATAAAAGTGGCCAAGTTAAGCATACTTTACAAATGTGTGACTAACCTCACAAACAGATTGTCTCTTGGACCTTGAGTCCTCACACTTGCAGAAACTCATTGCATTGTTACAGTTGCTGCAGTGTATGAACAGCTGCAATATCCTCTTTAGTGGGAAAATGGTGATGATGCAGGAAGTAGTCTAAGAAAGGTCCTTAGACTTTTTACCAGTTGTCACTTCCAACCTACATGAAAATTATTTTAAAGGACTGTCACCATCTCTTCATTCATTTATTTATAATCTCAGAAAGGTGGCGGGGGGTGGGACTTGATATTTTGGTATTGGTCTTAACTAGCACTGTGTTACATGATCCTAGCTATGGGTTCTTTGTGCTGTTTCCCACCAGCAGTTAATTCCCTGAAACCTTAAACTGGATAACAGTCTAAAAACATGTGGGGTGAAAAGTTATAGAAAAACATATACAAAAACTATGCCTTAAGGGTAGCTTTATTGGGGTTCAGAGGAACTGGGTCATTAGGACAGTTACAAAAGAAAGCATTTCCTTACTAAAACATGCCCCACCTAGGTAGACAGTAATTTCAGCACCGAGTTTCCAGTGTAGGTCACACAGAGGCCAGTTGCTAATCTTCTCATCCTCCCCAGCAAGGGAAGGAATAACCAGAAATGTGAGGTGGACACGCAAGGTGAGGGAGGGGAAGCTCCATTGTGCAGATGGAAGTCCTGGTGCTAGCAGAACTGCTTGGTTAGATCTAGCCCTATATTTTTAATGTTTTCTTTAAAAATCACCCTCAATGTTCCCATGCTAGCTAAGAAAGACAGCAACATTACAGTGGGGAAACAGACTTCTTAATCATAAAGCTGATCAATTTTATTGTTATCAGTATAAAGCTATAAAGTGTCAGGTTTTGGATTACAGAACATTTTAATCCTGTCTAGTTGCCTCACTGAAGCAATAGAAGATGTCAGTGTTACCCCAGTTTTTCATAATGGATCCGGAAAGGAAATCAAAGAACCATTAACCCAGAGCTTTCCAAACTGTGTGTCGCAGTGTGTAGGTGTGTTGCGCAAATGCTCCTCACACTCCTCCTGGGGCTGGAAAGGGGTTAGTTTAACCTCCGGTTTGCTAGTAAAACTGAATTACTGTGTCACGAAATGATGCATGTCTAAAACGTGTGCCACCAACATGAAGAGTCTGCAAAGCTCTGAATTAACCCATAATCTCTAAATTAGTTGAAAGCACTTTTAATATTAGTTGTAAAATATATAGAAGAACAAGCATTGATGACTAAGAATCACCATGGCTTCTGAACTGGAAAGCCTCGTTTCTTTGAGGATGTCAACAAATACGGTATATAGATTGGGGATGATCCAACAGCATGTATATACTTAGGCTGCAATTCCATGCATACTTAACTGTCAGTGAGACCCACTGAATGCAGTGGAACTTTTTCTCAAATAAGCATACATAGCCTTTCACCGAAAGCTCCTAAGTAGACTTAAAATTAATTATTGTGGGGGTTTTTTGCTAGAGTTTAGTTCTCCTGATCTGGACAACACTTGCAGTTTTAAAATGCTTCTTGCCTTTTGTAGGCTTTTGTCAAATATGCTTGCTCCTTCTTGGACTTGTGTCTTTCCTGCTACATTCCATTCCTGTTATATTTCCAGTTGCTCATTATTTCAACATTTTTTCGCTTGGCTACCTCCTTGATTTCTTTCTTCATCTCAAAATCACCCTCAGAGTTTTGGTGAAAGATGATGATATGTTCCCAGTACTAAATTGCACTTTGGGTTTGGCATTTCAACCCACATTGTTTCTGTAAATAAGTATATCCCTTGGAACTTTCCTAGTATGTTGGACTCTTGTCCTTTATGTATAGAACAACACATACTCAATACACCTTTCCTACTTCTTTGTGTAGATTTTATATCCTTGGACTGACATGCCCACTTTTCAGCATTGCCTTTGAACAGCACTCTACCTTAGTTTGGAAACTTCTGTATTGCTATGTAAAACCTATATATAGCAACCATTTCATGTGTAATTTCTCATAAGAAACTTTGTTTTCTTTAAATGTCTGTCCTTTTTTTCTATAGGCTCATTGCTAAGTTATGTCTGATCTCTTCTTCAATGATCTGAAACATTTACACTATCTTCCCTAAGGCAGTAACCACCCCAAATCAGATATTCCCAAGCTCCTATCAGCTTTGACTCAGAAATCATTTTAAAACTCTTCACAAATTTCTTGAAGTTCAATGACAATATTCTGCTTCCAGTTTTGGTTGCAGATTCAATGGAATCGGTCTCTTTTGTACAAGTTCTGCTTGTTTGAAAACTTTCTCCAGTGCCTAAGAAAAGGAAACACTTTGTTCCAACACTGCAATCTTATTTATGCACAGAGATTCCTCAGCGCTGCCTTCCTTATGGGGCTTCCATATGGAACAGGATGTCCTGGGATGTTCAGGCATAAGTGCTTATGTAGCAAAATTAGCACCAGCCAGGCACAAGAGGGAGATACCAGCAGGCCTGAGGTTTGCAGCAGTACAAAAAAATCTGGTGAAAAGGAGCCTGAGGGAGGAACACCCCCCCCCCCGCAAAAGGCTAAAACACTACTGTACATGGATGATTGCCTCTGCAATTCTTTTGCCATAAAAAAGTTGGTGTCAGGCTTCTTAAAGCCATTTCACAAACTCCAGGCTAAGTATAATGGCAGAAGAAAGTTGGATGAGGAACCAGTGGAGGTTGGGGAAAGATGTGAACAAAGAGACACAAGATAAATGAAGCTAGATCAGATGATGCAAAGGAAGAAGAAGAGATGGCAAGAAGCAATTGAGACAAACCAAGAGGCTATTTCAGAGAGTAGACTGCAAATTGTCAGTGGAGACCAGGCAAGAACAGAGGTAGAATGAGAGAAATGGCAGGACAGTTTATAGACTAGAGAAGATAAAATGAGAGGTAACATAGAAATGTGGAGTTGTGAAGGGTACATAAAGTATGAATTAACTGGCACAACATTTTGTTGTAGCCAGGCCCACACTTGTCCTATCTAGAGACTTAACTTTTCTACCAGAACCTCTCTTATTTCCCAGCATCCAAGAAGGTCTTGTTTCTGAGCGTTTAGCAGACTTTAGGTTCATTGTTTGAAATACACCTTAAAATACGGTATTCTCTTAGGCCTGTTGTAGCTGATGTTAAAGGATGGGTTTGTGTCTATTTTTCTATTTTGCCTGCACCAAAAAGGAGTCAGTCTGTGACTCTCTGTGTCCTCGTTCTTGCTTTGCTCAGTCGTGTTTGAAAAACTGAAAAACAAACACAGATCCATCCTTGACATCAGCTCCAATAGGCCTAAGAAATCCCTTTCACTGTAAGTATCAATGGTCCTTTCCCCCCCTACATGAGCATATAGTAATAGTGTTTGAATTACTGACCATGCATGTGCACACAAATATAATATAGTGCACACTCTTCTGAGCATAATAGTTCTTTATAGGTGAAATAAACAAACACTACACGCAGCAGCTGCGATTTTGGCTACTAATGATTACCATTCTATTTTATTTCATGTCTTACATATAGAAACTCTCCATAGTAGACATATTAGAAGAAGGAACTATGTTCACTGTGTATGTGATAGAATTAGTTGTAACAAAATACATTCTAGCACATATTTTAATGACAAAACTTGTATTCTTATATCAGATTCTTTGAAACTAAGAATGAACAAGCTAGTGTGAAAGTTTTCACAGTGTTCTGCATTGCACGATAGAGAACTGTACTAAAGGTTCATGGTTTGCACATTCAAAACATTGCATTCCATTTAGATGAGTGTATTTTTAAAGTGGTACAGAAGGATAGAGGCATGTGGTGTATTTTCAGAGTGGGTGTGACACTGTGGCAAGTGTTGCATGATCACTTCAACACTACAGAGAATAGGAAGTGAGTGGGCAAGCTTATATTTCAGGTGCAAGTGCTATTTGAGAAGCCCCTGTTTTGAAAAGCATAGAATATATATACTTCTGCCTTATTATTATGTTATCATGGCAAATGTAAGTTATTGTACAAATAGATGAATAGATAAACTCGCATATGTCAATATGGTAGACCACACAGACTCAGGCTCAACTCTGTACTCTGCCATGCTTACATTTCTCCCTGGTTTTTTGTTGCAGAGGACTAGGAGCCCTTGGGGTCCTTTGGATTCCATCTGCTCTGATTTTTTTTTTTAACTGAAGAGTGGCATGAAAGTGTCTAAATAAATAAATAAGTAAATAAATAAATAAATAAAGGAGATTTATATCTAAACAAACTACATCTTTAAATAGGTTTGGGCTAATGAATGAAGCAACCAGAGAACTACATATAATGCTGAATTCATGCATGGAAGTATTTTGTTCTCTGGGACAGTCTGACTACATACAAGGTGGATAATGCTACTTGTACATATTTACTAGTCAAAAGAAGCTAGATGCATTTTACAGTTCTGGTTACTAAATCAGTCAGATTAATTAAAAACCTTTAATCAACATACTGTTGCAACTGATAATCAGAAAGCAGATTTGTTTTTTTAAAGATGTCAAACTAATTGTTATTATAAGAACTATGTTTAGGAAGTGCCATCTAAAAAGAGGGATTTTCCTGTTTCTGATACACAGGAAGAACATCTCTTCTAAGTTACAGCATATATGCGTCATCTAAAAATGGAGAAAACATGTTTCATGCTCAATAAATACTGATTTTACCAATTTGCAAATTTAATTTATAGATGAATCTACAAATTGACTAAAACTCATATGGTTAATTAATTAAAATTTCTATTAGTGGGCTGCAATCTTATTTAGAAATGTTTATGTTTACTTCTTAAAACCTTTATAATGGTGACACAAGTTGAAAAGTTGTATAAGTTATATCCCTATATACCATTCAAGTGGCTTAAATTATTATTTCTTTTTGGAAATGATTTATTATTATTATTATTATTGCAGTCATTGCCCTATTTATGGAGCAGTATAATCTGCAATTCTGCATTCAGAAAATCTAAATTCTGCATTTGATAATTATTCCTTTTGGACATATTTCATGCTCACTTTGATTTGTGCGTTGAAATTGTATAGTTGCGCATTTGTTTGCATTAGATGTTTGTTTTTTGCAGAATTTGAAACTTTGGAGAAGGTGTTAGGCTAGGGGAAAAATAGAAAGTATGTGGAGAAAGATAGGAACTGAGCCCTATAAAGAGGTACTGTACAATCAAATCCTACTTCTGGTCTACGGAATCCATATACATATCTGTTTTCTGTTTAGCAAAAGCTGCCATCTCGTTTCGAAGTTTTTTCATCCACAGTTGCCTGAGCTAAACAAGAAAGTTGAGATTCTCAGGATTCTGCCACATAATCATAGCCACACAGATTTTCAGAGCCTTATATTATGCTTCTAACCACAAAACTATATCTCTGGGTCATTGAAAAAGTTCACAGACTACCTCATAACCTCCTTCTGGTATGCTTTGTTTCATTTGGAAAGTCAAGTGTGTATTATTATTGCTGTTTCGACCTGGGGAAGTTTGACATAGTGCCTAGTTAAATAGTATAGTGCAAGAAGTTGTGATTGCCCTGTAGACAAACTGGGACTGTGGTATTTGTTCTGTTCATAGCTTTTTTCTTATGTGGAAAGTTCCATCCTTTCAGTACTTTAAATAACATATTGATAATATTTATGCCATGGATGACTGCTTTTCCATAAAGTTTACCAATTATAGAAAGCTACTGCAGACATCATAGGTTTTGTAGCTATAAATATAAGTTATTGGTGTCTAGTCATCAGAAATGTCCGCCAAACTCATGTTTAACCAAGTTGCTCCTTGCGTGTCAACTAGTGTGATGTTTTAGCAAAGACTGAAAAGTACAACTTTGATTGTTTTAATAGTTACCTTATTGATTGACTACTTATGTATGTTAGAATTGTATATATATGCAAAGAAAGAGCAAGTCACACAATCATGTGGTTCATGTATAACAACCAAAACTTTAGTTGCCCAATGAAACTGAGCCTCAGGGTTTCACTCTGCCCCTTCCTCACCATTTAGAGGCAGGTTCTTGAACTGTTTAGTGCAAAGTTCGGCAACCTAAGCCCCATGAGCCAGAAGCGGCCCATGAGGGTCGCTTAACCGGCCCATGAGCTGCCCCCGAACTGAGCCACCTGCTTGGTGAGTCCCTGCATGCTGTGCTAAATCAGTGCAGCGCAGGGACTCTCTTCCGCTGCTCCGGAAATCGTGTCTGTGCATGTCCACAGCGCTGGAAATCACTTATGTGCAGGCGCAATTTTCGGCGTCTGGGCATGCGCAGGATAAGAGGAATCTGTGTGCAAGTTTGTTTCCACACTCTGCTCTGATAATAAACTCTTTTATTAAGTAAACTAACCCTAGGCTTTCAGTACAACAGCATTGTTGTACTACACATTACTCAGTATGTTAAGCTCGTGAGTTGCAGCACTGAGAACCAGCATGAACCCCAAAGTTGTTTAATCTGCCCCATCCTTTGAAACATGTTGATTAAATCCTGTCCATTCCTGTTAGTTGTTTCTGCCACTGGAGGGGAAAAAGCAATCAAAGCCACCATCTTCAGCTTTCCTTCTTTCTACGCTTTGCTATGTTTACTATGTCACTGTGCGCAACTGGGACATTTCTGCACCCAGAAATGTTCTATTTAACTACTCACAAATAGTTGTTCTGATATTCCAACACTGTTGTGTCTGTTGGCTTCCAGGAGAACTTTCAGATTTTATAACTGATATAAAGGGGTGGTTGTCCTATTTTGAACACAGAAAGGAATGATACAGTAATTTCAATAAACAGTTAATAAACCCTGTTGAATCTTTATTTCCTAGTGCTAGTAATATGGAAGAGTTTCCTCTACAGTTTCTACCGTGGAAGGATTATTACTTATACAATCTGGGATTCAGAAAGGCCTTTCATTAATAGCTTGCTGTTGTTTCAGATTTATAAGCTAAAAAATGATAATTTCAGGTCCCACAATCCCACAAAAGGATAGGGTTCTGGGAACTTCATCAGCTGTACAGTACACACTGGTGGAGGAAGAGGAGTGGGGGGAGCACACCGCCCCCAGCAGCGCGATCCCGGTGGGGTGCCATCACGGCTGCCCCCCGCCCGTGCTGGGCGCCGCGCCACGCCCCCAGGATGCGCAGCACACCCCCAGGACACGCACCAGCCCCGCCCCCTCCTGCTCTCCACCCCCCACTCCACCACTGACAGTACAGATTTCCATTTTGAGCCTTGTCTGTGTTCATAGCAGCTTGCCTTGAACCTCTTCCACACATGCCTTTAAAGAAACTCACCTTGACATCTATTCATAAAGTCTCAGAAGAGAGAATTCTCTTTTTGAATGGTTACTTAGGCTTGTTCTACAAGGTACTTGGCCTTCTACAGAGGCCAACCTCAGAAGGCAGGTAGCACAAAATGTTCTGTGAGAGTGATTTTTGAAGGGCATAGAAAGAATGTGTACTACCATAGAATGGAACTGTTCTTGTACATCTGAATGAATATACTGCCCTACCACCATTAGTAGACTCATTTTTAACTTGCTTATACCTTTACTGTTCTTTCTAGTGAAAGTAAGGCAGTCATCACCCTACCCCCTAACATAAAATAATCAAAGAATTTTTTAAAATAAGTGGATTAGAACTAATCTTAAAACAGCAACTACCAAAATAACATAACTAAAATCCAATTGGAAGAAGTGGGATTTAAAGGCTTTTTTTTTTAAGACTGGTACTCATTGGTGCCAATCACATGTCCCTAGGGAGGAGTTCCATAAGTTAGGAGCTACCACTGAGAAGGGCCTGTCTTCACTAGGAAGAACAAGTAATTTACAGGTAAAACAAAATTCCCATTTTCAGAACTTTGGGGGCACTTTAAAAATTTGGGGAGGGGAGCAGTGGTAAATATAAAAAGCATATAGGAGTCTTTTATGTTATGTTAAAAATAACATTGCCTTTTCATTAATTGTTTTGTTTGCAGGAGAGTTTGACACTGTACAGAGCCCTTCAACACCAATCAAAGATCTGGATGAAAGGACGTGTAGGAGTTCTGGGTCAAAATCAAGGGGCAGAGGGCGGAAAAATAACCCATCACCCCCTCCTGACAGTGACTTGGAGGTATGTGCTTGAGAAATGCAGGAGCAGCAGCAACAACAGCTACATTAAGACATGGTTGTATTAAATGTAGCTCTGCATTCTCTGTACTGGCTGCACTAAACTTTCCTGCTCTACCTAGATGCATCAATAAATTTCCTGATACCCTAATGAGTTATCTAATTTAGAATATTTATTTTACTTGTGTTTATTTTATTTCAAAATAAAATAGTTACATTTCAGCCTGTATCTTCTAGGACTTCCTTTTTACTGTTAAGAAGGTGCTGTTTGTCCCATCCGTACAAATTGCTACAACCAGACAGTTCCAACCAGTATACAGTGGTACCTCGGGTTAAGTACTTAATTCGTCCCGGAGGTCCATTCTTAACCTGAAACTGTTCTTAACCTGAAGCACCACTTTAGCTAATGGGCCTCCTGCTGCCGCCACGCTGCCAGAGCACGATTTCTGTTCTCATCCTGAAGCAAAGTTCTTAACCCGAGGTAATATTTCTGGGTTAGTGGAGTCTGTAACCTGAAGCATATGTAACCCGAGGTACCACTGTATATTGGTGGTTTCTTCCAATTATTTCTGTTCTGTGCTGTCTGCTGGGGGATTATAACTTGTCTTTGGTTTTCCTACTGCTTTATGTCCATTGATGTTTGTCAATGCCTCTGTTTCAGCGCGTATTTGTTTGGGATTTGGATGAAACTATCATTGTCTTCCATTCACTTCTTACAGGATCTTATGCACAAAAATATGGAAAGGTATGTGACTCATAAATTCAAATTCAAAACACTAATCCTACAAGTTGCTTTTGTTGTGATACAATTTTTGTGTATTGCAACTGTTAATCCACTTGTGAATCATGATTTTTGAACCTTGCAACAACCTCACAGAATTTGGTGGCATTTTCATATTCTTGTATTGGTGCTCCTTGTATCTTCATAGGGCATTTCTCCTGTCTGTGACTTCCGGCAGCTCCATTTTGCTTCCGCTCCCCACCCCACCCCCAGGCCCGTGCATCCAGAAACTCAAGATTCCATTATTGCCAAGGCTACCTGGGTTTTTTGTGGCTCATTGGCGTGGGATAAATTCTTTCAATATTATTAAATGTTTGAGGACAGTTTCAGCACAGGGATAAAATACATATTCTAAGTATTCTGCATATGGGTAGTGTCTGGAGGAAACACTCTGCAGTCCACCTATCTCTTAAAATGAAGTTCTACTAGTTAGAGAGAGTCTGCATAGCATCAGTGTAAAGAAATATTCTCTTAAGCCTAATGCAGAGATTTTTGGGAAGACAATTTTATTAATTTAATTACTTTTCAAATTGTGCCCCAGTGTAATTTGAAAAAAGGGTACCATATAAAGGAGCTTTATTAGTACATGTCCTTATTTAGTTGTATTGGGGGGAATATTTAAAGCTTTTCTCCTGATGCCACTACATAATATTAAACCACTTTAATTTTGGCATTAAGAGAGGGGCAGTCTTTTGAAAGGATTCAGGCTCCTTTCCTCAGCCTGGCTCCTCAAAACTATAAGTGTTGGTTCTCCTGAGATATTTTTACTTTGTCTCCTAAGAGGCATTCACTAGTAGATGGCCCAATCTAGCACAGAAGTCCACAGACAGACTGTCTGGCTCCAATTTATGCCCACTGCTAACATAACCGAAGGCATTTGTATTTTGATATAGGGAAGTGTTATAGTTGATCTAGCCTCTCTTGCAATGCTGGCAATCTCTGGCTAAGTGCCATGTTCTCAAGAACCAATGAACTAAGAAGTGTTTTGTTTGGTTTTTTTAATCAACAATACATCGGGGTGGGTGGGTGGGTTTAAACGGCTTACAGGGATGGGGAGGGTAATAATGCAGAACCATGCTTCAGATTTCCAGTGCAATTCTAACCATATTTTCTCAGAAGTAAGTCCCCCTGAGCTCAACTCCTTACTAAGTGCATTCAGAATTGCAGCATCAACCTCTCTTATATTTCACTACTGAATATAATTAAAACACTTGTTTCTCGGCTTCTTCCTAACTTGATTTCATACTTTATTTTAAACTGAGGGTCATTTCATGCATCATATTTATCATATAGCTGCAACCATGTGAAATTTGCTTCATGCGTGATTGGCACTCACCTTGAAATAAAAGCTTCTGCAATGTTCCACTGAAGTGATCTGCTCCTACATCAGCCCCGTGTATTATTCAGCACAAAATAAACTGATTTAATAAATGTTTAAATGACCACAAGAAAAATTCTATCTGATCCCCAAAATAAAGCATTGACTGTTATTCTTAGGATCCCCCCCCCCAATTCCTACCTTACTCTTTGGCATCAACAATAACCACGTTTCTCCATCCCCAATCCCACTAAATATAAAAGCAATACATTGTTTTGTATATACAGGCATTGTTATAGCAGTTATTATAAACATTATTGTATACAGGTAATGAAGCTCACTGGATGACTTTGGGCCAGCCACTGCCCCTCAGCACGTTGTTGCCTATTGTTACCACCTTGTGCTCCATGGAGTTGGGATACTAATGTAATACATTAATAAAACAAATAACCGTTATATACAGAAGCATAAAACAATGCATATAATTTCACACAAAAATTTAGAGGTGTGTGTGTGATGCAGAAATATAGTAAAGCATGGGACTCTCTCATATGCACCATACTTATACATTTTGTGTGTATAATTTGGACTTTTTTTAAAAAAAGAACCAGTCCCTCAATGCACAAGTGGTTTGGACATAAGCAGGCACTTGCTGTAACAGGAGTTCCAATAAAGGCAAAATTTGATTCATCAGGAACATCTCAAAATCAGTGTTTAGAACTCGTTTCTTCTCCATCTTTAATAAAATTTCATTTCCTCTGCCAGCTGTTTTCCCACATGTGAGAGGAAAATACTGGACCTGCTAACTCCCATGTGGTAAGAGGCCAGTAAATCCTCAAATAGTAGGGAGTTTGAGATACTCTTCAGGATCATAAGTGATTGAGTTATCTGCATATACTCATCCCTTTTCTTTGAATTGTAGACAAGAATCCTATTTGTGAGGCATCATCTCTACCCTAGCAGCTGGAGAGGGAATTAATTAACCCTTACTTTCACAGTGGCGAACCTCAAAACCTGAACTCTTACCTTGGGTCAGAACCCCTGCAGTGCTGGGTTGCCATTTGTTGAAACAGAACATGTGACTTTGTATTGACTCCTCTTTTGCACATATAACATGTCATCATAGGGGTCCTGACCTCTGAGTGAGAGTAGGATTCTACCATGCCCCTTCCATGCCCCTAGCTCCTCTCCCCCAGCCTTATACTAGCAGTGGGCTCTCAACAGTGCAAAGCTGTTGCTATGATAATGCATTTTTCCAGTTGTGGTGTGTTTTAATACTGCAAGGGAGGTTGGAAGCAATCCCATCCTTCCCATAGATAGGAATACTTTGTTATTAAATTTGTTTGATAATTGTTTTTAGTCTTACAAAAGAAATTAGATATGTTTTCAAACCAGACAGTGCTGTCACTACTTCAACATTGAGATCTCAAATTAATGGTTCTTTAATTTCTTTTCTCTGCATCATTTTCACATAAAATAAAAGATTTATAGTTCTAATACAATTATTGTATTTTAAGTAAACTAGATTGTTTGCATTTATAATTCATGTCTCATTCATGTGATATTAGCTTCCGAGGTGCTTAACATACATTATCAGCAGACTTTTTCTGTTGTGTAGATATCTATTTATATTTGCATCTAAAAATAAATTATACCATTTCTGGCCATAATTACATGCAAATAAATCTATTTCAGTCTACAGGGCATGTACGTACATAATGCACAGAATTACCACTTTTAAGAGTTCAGTTTAATCTACTCATAACATGTTAAGAAAATCCATATTCTTTCCATTTTCCTCCCCAAGGATCCACCTGTGGCAGTGACTCTTGGACTTCGAATGGAAGAAATGATTTTTAATCTTGCAGATACACATTTATTTTTCAATGACTTAGAGGTATGTATGTAAAGAATGTATATTAGCCTACCTGTATCCTAGCATCTAACCCCTTGTTTACTCCAAGTTATCAGTAGCTAGAAATCAAATCTTACAGAAGTAGGTTTGTAGCGTATATCCCCTTGTCAGGGGTTTCTTCTGTTGTTAGCCTGGCAGAAGTGTTTGATAGTGAATGATAGCTGACAGTGATATTTATTAATTGCCAAGTACCTACTACAATTAGGTACTACTGTATACAGAAATTAAAACTGCAACTTTCAGGTTTACAATCTATAATGGAGGGTTTAAGTCTCTCAAGATCTCAGTTAAAAACTGGATTGTTCCACTGGCCCAAATATGCTTATCTAAGTGAATTTAAAAATAACCCTGCTTTTTAAAAAGAAAAAAAAAAAGGTGAAGGGGACCTCTTAGTATTTAGTTTGTGTTTAAAACCTTGGTGGTTGTTTTTTCTCTTCCCTATCTCTTCTGAAAACTTCTACCAAACTACTTTTTCAAAGGAAATACCTTTCTCAATTATTCAGTGCTGTGGCTTCTGGATTTAGCAAGAATTTACAGTTTTTAAGTGACAATATTATACTTTATTATGGATCTCTTGTTTCAGGGACAGATTTCTTACATTTCAGTATAATTGTCTTCTACAGCAGTATGATAGCTAAATTTCCATCTCGGACTAAGCCATGGTTTAGTGAGATGTGCATGAGCAGGAAGGAGTTGCTGCTAATCTCTGGATTGCATGTTCCCTTCCTCCCATATGGCCAGGATAAGAACTCTGGCAGTTTTTACCTTCACTTGGCTTGTTCAACTAAACAGAATTTCTGTGTTGGTTTGTTTTGGAACTGATCAGAGTTTGTTTTATACCACAGTCCTTGGTCTGGGTGGCAGGACAAGCTGATATTCAGACAAACTGGGAAAAAGCTGCTTGGATTTCTCCCATGCATACAGGAAGGCAAGGGGTGAGCAAGTGAGTCCAAGGGTCACAGCGGCTCCTTCTTGCTCACACATCTCACTAAAGTATGGTTTAGTGTGTTGTGTGAACCAGTCCATTCAGTATTCTTCCTGAACAGGAGGTGGCAAGCTCTGAAAATAAAAAGGGAAGATACTTGTCATGTGACACACTATGATTTTATTTACCTGTGTTTTGAATGAATATTCTTATGACACCTATCAACACATGGGTCCTCCCATAGTGAGTGACTCTTCAGAGACGTAAATGGTCACTCCTGATTAATGAAAGTCCTACTCCATATTAGCCCACTTTTTTAACTCTTGTCATTTCATTAAATGTTACTTTGCTAGTAAGATAATTTGAAGATGTAGTTGATGCAGTACTTGGAAAAAGCCAGAAGTGACCTATTCAAAGAGATTACATTACAGAATATGAATCCCTTTTAGGCAAAATAAAATAATCTTTTCTTTAGTGTTAAAAGATTCTGTGGCTTGTGGCAGTTTTATGATGAGCTGTATGAAAATATTTTAAAGTAATTGCTTGCTTGGGTTATATTTAGAAGTTGTACTGATAAGTGCAAGTAAGTTTCATATATGTCTCATTGTAAATCATGAAAATAGTCAACCTACACTGCATTTTTTACTATCAGGGAAGACATTTCTCGTATGCTTGGAAGATAATCCATACCAATTTTACTCTTGATTCCAGCAGATAATGGTGAATGGGAGTTGTTGTTCACCCTCAAGACTGTAACTTCTCAGATCTGCTACATAATAGGATTTTTGTTTTTACTGCAGTGAGTCATTGTTTTTATTGGATAATGAAATTACTGACAATTCCAAAAGGATCATTTTTGTGGGTCATCCGTAGGTTTTGCACTCCTTAGTAAAATGTCAAGTTCTGAACATTCCTGCAAGGAACTTGTTGCACTGAGACATGAATTAAGTTAATGTTACTGCAGTCAAAATCAGTTATTGTACATGAATTTGTAAACACACAGTAATGGAAAATATATCTTATCTTTCTTAGTTTTGAACTTGCACAGCCAGTGGTCCACTGTGACTTGAGTATAGCCAGTTCTGTAGCTGTTTTGAAAGGTATTTTACCTTAAAATTAAAATTAACAGAGAGCTTTTTTACCATTTTTATCCCATCTCTATTACAATCAAACAACAATACCCTGATGTTATGCTAGCAGCCTGTTCATTTCCACTGGGAATGGGAGGGAATTAATTTAGGCTGATGTCCTAAAAGCACTTGGATTACATACTGAATGAACTATGTACAGTGCTAACTTCAGTAGAATTCTGCAGGTCCAAGTACATTTAGGAATTTAGCCTAAATTCTAGACGGCTCATCTGGGACTTGATGCAAACTACTGCATTTATTTATTTATTTTGCAGATTTTTCTCTTGTTACCTTGCGAAAATGGTAATAATTGAGTTGAGAATAAGTCTGGGGGAAGCATGTGCATGGAGCACAACAACTATTATCTAACACATTCCTGTTAATGTTCAGCCATGCATAACAGGAAGTAGGTAACAAAGTAATGTATTAAAAGGTTGAGCCGTAGCACCACAGAAGGTGAAAAAATAGGCAACCCACTTTTTTAATCTTGTGATAATCCTATAGAGCAGGGGTGCCAACTTGAATAAAATATTGTGGGGACGCAGGTAAGCCCAGCCCCTGGCCCACATAATCGATCACATGATGCAGTGCACATGCACCATTTTAATGGGAATGGCCATAAACTTTGTGGGGGCCCAGCCACAAAAGAGGGATAGAATGATAATAGGCCATGTCCGGAGAATCAATGGATTGTATTCAGCTCAGTCTTACTCAGAATAGACCCATTTAAATTAATGAACCTAAGTTATTTGTCTTTTAATTTTCAGTAGGTCTACTCTGATGAGGACTAGCATTGAACACCACCCTGCAACCTTTTGTATGGGACAGAGCTGCTCTAAAGCCTTTATCCCAAAGAACCAGATAGGGGGAAGCACTTCATAGCTTTCAGTGCCTTTGTGACATTACTAGCCAAAAAGCCATTTCCACCACTCTTCTCATGACTGCTTGTCATTAAGCGAAGAGAATGCTAGGGTGGGATATTGCAGGAGCTACCAACATGGAAGAACTATGTGATTCCGCAACAGAAACGGTCCTAACCAGCTGGTGTAGGTTTGGAAAAAAGATAGTAAGTTAAGGGATAAGGCAGAGGTTAGCTCCCTTCCTAGAACTAAGAGAAGGAGGAGTTGTGGATGCTGTAATCTTGACTACCTCACTGGAGTTTCCTAGCCCTGCAAATGATAAAGGATGCTGCAGATTGTATGGGAGTATGGCAGTGAGTGACTGAAGAGGAAGGAGCAGGAACCACCAGCAACCAGCAGAGCCTGTGTGCACATGCTAATGGGAAGAGGTATTTGAGGATTGTGAGGTGCAAGATCCTTGTGGGGAAAACATCAAGACTATTGTGCTACCTTTCCTGTGAGTTTACCATTGGCAGCTCACTCACCTACCCAAATTATGCCTTTTTTGCAGTGCTTGGGGAAGCCATGCAACTAAAAGAAAATACAAGGCACTTAGATATGAACAAAAGCTTATATAACTACAGCCGTACCTTGGAAGTCGAACAGAATCTGTTCCGGAAGTCGGTCCGACTTCCAAAATGTTTGGAAACCAAAATGCGGCTTCTGGCAGGAAGCTTCTGCAGCCAAGCGAAAGCCCCATCAGAAGTTCAGCTTCCAAAAATAGTTTGCAAACCGGAACAGTTACTTCCAGGTTTGTGGCATTCGGGAGCCAAAATGTTTGAGAACTAGGCTGTTCAAAAACCAAGGTCCGACTGTACTATATACACACACAACTGAATGATAGTGAAGGATGTGAGAAAGTGGGGGTTTTGGCCAGATGAAGGGTAGGGAAACCCATAAAAATGCTTATTGCACAAGGATTCACCTGTTCTTAGGACAGGTTTCCGTACAGCTTCTAGTGTAATGGGCCATGTCTATGGGGAGAGAAAGAAGGGTGAGATGGAACTAGACAGCGAGAGGCAAGAGGGCCAAGGGAAAGAGAAGAGGAGAAAGATGACATAGGAAAGGTGATAGAGGAAGCAGATGCTAAGGGAAGAGAAACAGGGCAGGACTAGTTTGGTAGGAAACTGGGACTTGGGTGGAAGAAGAAAAATCTGATGATAGTTGGATCTGGGACTTGTATTCCCATTCAGTTGTGGTGAATCTTAATAGCCATTTCAACACTTTACACCAGTACATAACAGCCAGACTATTCAGCTGGGGAGAGAGCCTTCTAAAGAGCGCCCTAACGCTGGGAAGAGCAGTTGGGCAAACCAGTGGTAAATGCCTTCTATGTTGTTAGAGGCCTTCATTGATACATTCCCTTTTTGTGTTTCACAAAAACTTCCAAGAGGGTGCTGGACCATATTGCCAAATCAAAACTTTGTATAGCAATCTACAGGATTCAATATAAGAGAAAGTCAGTTATGCAGTTCTCAGAGAGACCCTATCCCTGAAACAAACATTCCCACAATGGAAAAAGGACATTAATTAAGGCATTTATATACCACTTAATGGGACGCGGGGGGCGCTGTGGGTTAAACCACAGAGCCTAGGACTTGCTGATCAGGAGGTCGGCGGTTCAAATCCCCGCGATGGAGTGAGCTCCCGCTGCTCGGTCCCAGCTCCTGCCAACCTAGCAGTTCGAAAGCATGTCAAAGTGCAAGTAGATAAATAGGTACTGCTCTGGCGGGAAGGTAAACGGTGTTTCCGTGCACTGCTCTGGTTCTCCAGAAGCGGCTTAGTCATGCTGGCCACATGATCCGGAAGCTGTACACTGGCTCCCTCGGCCAGTAAAGCAAGATGAGTGCCGCAACCCCAGAGTCGGCCATGACTGGACCTAATGGTCAGGGGTCCCTTTACCTTTATATCACTTAATCATTGGCATTTCAGACACCTGTCTTGGGATCAAATGGGCAGCCAGTAGAAGCTTTTAAGCACTGGAGTTACATGCTGGCCCCATCAGTAATCTAGCAGCAGCAAACTAAACAGATAAAGTTGGTGCCAAAGAGTGGCAAAGCAAGCTGGGGCTGATCCTTGTCTCCCACTTAGTTAGAACCCATCTTCATGGTGATGTTCCCATGCCTATACCTACATTTGGAGGGCATATTGTTTTAAGTTCCAGAAGAGCTGAATCTGTAGTAGGAAGAAAAAGAGCATCTTGGGAACACCAGCCCTCCTGAGAGGAAGTGTTGATTTTTAATATAACCCATAAATATGAGACCTTTATTGCTAAACTCTACAAAATCTGCCATAACTCTGTACTACCGATCTTCCCCATAAATTTCCCCCTTTGCAGATACAAAGCATTTTCACTGCCCCCTCCCCTGCAAAACACATGTTTTAATTCAAATTTTAACATTTGCTTGAAAAATATATAAACAAGAATTTCAGACACAGCTGAGTATAACTAGACCTAATCTGTTCTGAACTGGTCTGCTTTTGAGATTGTGGAATTTTATTTATGGGAAACCTGGCTATTTCTCTCAATGGGTTAATATAAGTGACCTTCAGAATTAGTAAACCTATGGAACATTAAAAAAAGAAAATTAGAAATAAAACCTGAAAATGTATCACCAGTCATTTTTATTCCCCCCACACACCCCGAAGTCTCTGGTGCAATAAACCTGGTAGCCTCACAAGCCTTTAAAAAAAAAAGTTTTTTTCAGCTGTCATTACAGTAAGCATGTTTTGAAGCAATTGCTGAAAGAGCATTAAATCTTGATGTAGTAAGGTTGTAGCCTTTTCACTGTATGGAAGGGTTGAAAGTGCTCTTGGCTACCAGAGCAACCTAGAATTCCAAGTACAGCAATTAATTCAGGAACACCCCAGTTTGGAAGGAGTTGTTGGGGCTGATTCTGTGAAAAGAATAGTAGCCTTGCTTGTGAGACCTTAAATGTGCATATTCTGCCATCTTCTGGCAGTACAAGTACTACTCAGTATTAAGATCTTTTAATGTCTTAGAACTCTGCCACATTATGTAAATATTGCAAACAAGATATCAAATGTTATTTTTAAAGAAATATTTTTTCAACAGGAATGTGATCAAGTACATATAGATGACGTTTCGTCAGATGACAATGGACAAGACCTAAGGTAAGCAATGCCTTTTTTTTTAAAAAAAAAAGAATTACATAAGCACATTTTTATAGAAAGTAAAAAGTATTCACTTTTGCATATTTTGGGTGTTTGCAGTACCTACAGTTTTGCAACTGATGGCTTCCATGCAGCTGCAAGTAGTGCAAACCTTTGTCTGCCAACAGGTGTAAGAGGAGGAGTTGACTGGATGAGGAAGCTGGCATTCCGCTATAGAAGAGTAAAAGAATTATATAATACTTACAAGAACAATGTAGGAGGTAAGAGTTTAAATATTTAGAAATGTCCGTAACATCTATACTCTAAAATTCTTCTGAAAGAGAATTATAATCTCCCATTCATCTTACTGTTGGGGGGGGTTGGAAAAAAATCTGAGCTATCTGCTGGTTTGTATTTATACAAGAAAATTGGACAAATAAGGAAAGAGAAGGAAGTTGGTCCTCCTTCACTGGAAGTCTCCAAGCAGGGACTGGACAGCCGTCTGTTGGGGATGCTCCAGTCCTGGATTTCCTGTACTAAGAAGGCAGTTGCACTGAGATGACTTATAAGGCTGCCCCTCCAACTCTGTAATTCTATATATCATCAAGGCATTTATTACTGCAGTTTGGAGATGAACTACACATTCTGAACTATCAACTCCTGTAGTGTTTCCTGCACCATACATCACTTTCCCCCTGCTTTCTGTCTCAGCCTTTTTCTAATGTGCTTTTATATCTTGTTTGTACAGGGAATGAGCTATTTACATGGGATGTTTGTTGGGGGAACATCCACATCTTTTAGGAACATGGGAAGCTGCCTTGTACTAAGTCAGACTGTTGGTCTATCTAGCCTAGTATTTCCTACACTGACGGGCAGTGGCTCTCCAGTATTTCAGGCAAGAGTCTCTCCCAGCCCTACCTGAAGATTCTGGGGATTGAATTTGGGACCTTCTGTATGTGAGGGAGATACTCTACCACTGAGCTACAGCCCTTTATTTCACACCTGCTGTCTAAAGTGGTATACACCATCTGATCCTCTACTATGTAGCCCTATACATGCCTCACTCATGCAGGAGACCGGGCTTGCCCCTTTAGCTCTGCTCTGCTGAGTCTTCTTCCTGCAACACTACACACTTTTAAATGGCAGACTAGTCTGCAGAAGGGGATTAAGTGATTGTGAAGATCTACATGTGAATAGCTGCTTTCAGGAAGGATGCTGGACTTGGCACACTGGATTTTATTGCCAATGAGGAGAATAGAAACAGGTGGAGATTAATCCCTTAATAACCTGACCATCCTGGCTTCTGATAACCCTCAGCACGTGCTTTGTTGCTTGAGTTCATCTGCTGAGTAGCAACATCTACCAGGGAACCACCAAGCGGAGGAAATTATGCTGAACTCTGGACTGTTTGGGAACTTCCTGCCCCATTTAAATATAAATAGTCCCGCTGCCACAGGCAAGCAGACCACCCCATCTTCTTGGATCTTCATGTCTGGATACATGAGCTGCGAGGGCAACACCCTTTTTAGTTTAGCGGTTGCTTGTGGTGTGTATGGGAGGGACTCCTGGATAAGAGCAGGGAACTGCACCTATGCTCAGGTGAATGCCAGATAGTGGGGACCTTCAGCTGGGTTGAGAGGCTAGCTGGAGTTGGTAGCTATCTATTCTTTATTGTATATATGATGAGCACCTCAGGGTATACATGGTTGTTAGAAAAACTGAGGAGTGCTCTGTGAAGAGTTTCAAGGTATGGTTACCAGGTGAAACTGGTGGGTTTCAGATTGTATAGATTTACTTGGGATGGTTATGAGTTGGTAGTGGTGGAGAGGTGTGTGGGATTGAGTGGTCTTAAATTAGTAGGGTGATTTTGTGTGTTTTTAAATGGATGTTGAGATTTGATGTTGTGAGGGTGGAGTAGAACTTTAGGTGGTGATTTTTGTCTGGTTTGGTGTAGAGGAGTCCATAGAAAAGCCCTGATACCAGTGACTACAGTCAGAGAAAGATATGGCATAGGTGGGATATTTAATTTTATTTATTACTTACTTACTTACTTACTTACTTACTTACTTATTTAGTTAGTTATTTATTATGATGTTACAATTATAGACCATCCTGTATCAGTTATAGTTATATGGAGGTAGGTCCAGTCCAGAGTAAAATAAAGTAACATTTTAAAAATGTGTACATTTTCTTTTGTATATCAGGACTTCTTGGCCCTGCAAAAAGAGATGCATGGCTGCAGTTAAGAGCAGAGATTGAAGCTCTCACTGACTCCTGGCTAACAAATGCACTTAAATCACTATCAATTATTAGCACAAGGTGAGTATGTGTTTAATTTTAAATGCCAGTTGCAAAATAGCTTTCTGAAGCAAGGCAAAAGTAATTTTTTAGGCAAGCTGATATTTTACTAGGAAGGCAGCCATCTCACTTAAAAATTGTCTACATTGGGTTGCTCCAGGTTTTTATACAAGACTTCTCCCCCATCCGTATCCAAAGATGCTGAGGATTAACCCTTAGTCCTTTTCTGTGCAGCACATATGTTCTCCCACTGAAGGTCTAACTATATGTGACACTAATTGTATCACTTGCAATTACATTAATTACAGTGACAGGGTTATTTTTATTGACACTGCTGCATGTGGAGAGCAGAGATTTAACCTTATCCTTCCCCACTTCATTCTCAATGAAAATATCAACATGAAGTTAGACTTAGCAGAGAAAACTCCTACAGATGCCAATATGCTATGCTGGGCCCATCAAAAGGTTGCAGTAGTTTTACAAATGAGCCACAAAAATGACATCAGCATATGCTAATTCCCCCACCCCTCTGCTGATCTGCAAACTATTCTACAGAAGGGAATTAAGTGATAGTGAAGATATAGGACAAAGGGACTTCTAATTTCTCATCATGGTATTATCAGAGTTGTTACAATATCTAAATAAGCTTTGGTTGCAAGGCTTTTGCTGATAACGGAAAGAAACAGTTTTGCAGTAATAAGGCATGTAACCAACTTGTTTTAGAGAAACTTTTTATCATTATATGGATTTATGCTGTGTCTTTTCTCATAGGAGTAACTGTGTAAATGTTTTGGTAACAACAACTCAACTTATACCAGCCCTTGCAAAAGTCCTGCTGTATAGTTTAGGAGGTGCATTTCCTATTGAAAATATTTACAGTGCAACTAAAATAGGTAAGAAAATTAGTCTTCCCAGTCTTTCCTTGTTTTGTGGATGGGTCTCAATTTTCCCCTACTACTGCCAATACTTTGTCTCCTTTGGTTGGACTAAGCAATTTGTTCAATTCTGATGAGAACCAACATTAGTTGGCATACTTAGTTACAGGTAATGCACAGAATTGCATATCAGTTTCATGAACATTGTGAAAATGATCCACTTATGCTTGAAAACATTGGAGTTGTGAGCTTTGAAGTTTAAAGCTCCTTGACAGGAGGAGGGCAGCTAAATTTTGGGAGATCCCCATCCTCTTGGGATGGGTAGGCAATCTTCATTTTTGTGTCTGGAGATGGAAGGCTTTGATCTTCAGTCCCCAGACAATTTCCTGCATTTGTGTGGGTAGTCAGGCTCCAGCAGAGTCCATGCTTGAAAGCCATATCAGATTTCTTGGGAGTCCCATATCATATGGTAGCAGCAGGTAGATATAAATAAACAAATAAAGTGAAAGCTACTATGAAACAAAGACTGAGAAAAGCCCCGCAGTTGAGGACCACTTGAGTATTGCTCCAACTGGCTTAGTAAAAGAAAGATGGATTCTGTACAGGTGCTTCCCCAGCACTGTACTGAACACCATAGCCTCGCACAATCAACATCTCCTTCCACCACCCACAGCACTCCAACCAAAGTCATGGTGTTCTTTCCATAGGAAAGTGACCATCTGTAATGTGTCTTGCAGTAGCAAACTTTATCATTAGATAAAGCAAAGTAATTTCCCCCACCCCGCACACCTTTAGCTTTATCTGAGAAACAGCCACAAGCCCAAATTGGTGTGAAAATGTGGGTTTTAGACACTCCTAGCTTTTTACAGGACTCTCCTATCTTTTGTAGATCTTTGTGATGCCTGTTTTTGATAGCTCAAATAAGTAGTGCATTGTTTTTCAGGAAAAGAAAGCTGTTTTGAGCGTATAGTGTCCAGGTTTGGCACTAACATAACTTATGTTGTGATTGGAGATGGCCGAGATGAGGAGCATGCAGCTAACCAGGTAATATCTCTCAACTGTATCTCATTTATCTTCCAGGAAAAGAAAGTTGCTTTGAACGAATAATGCAAAGGTTTGGCAGAAAAGTAGTATATGTTGTAATTGGGGATGGTGTAGAAGAAGAACAGGCAGCAAAAAAGGTAACCTGTCTCATGAAATGTCGGTGTGATACGTAGATATTGATGCAAGCTTCTCTGTTTGCATTTCTGTTAGTGTGGCACATTGGCAAGTAATTGAAGTTGTTAGATGCCAAAAGCCCGAAACATAAGACCTACAAATTAAACCATTTGGATTCGAGCATATTCTTTATGATGACTTGCATGATTTGGAGATAAATCAAAATGGATGTTGATCATAGATCTTAAAAGATATAATAAGCCTACATAAGATACAAGTAATATATAATAAAATGGGTGCTTTTGAAATTTGATGAAGGCATGCAAAAGGTTATCTGGCAGATGTGGAAAACCAATAGAAGGAATGCCAAATTCAGCTGTCGCAAAGTAAAATGTATCTGAAAAGCATGAATAAAAGGTAATTAGCTTCCTTCCATAGAGGGGCAGCTTCACCCATAGAAGTTTCTATAGAAGACAAAAACACCACCAAGAACTTACTCTGCTATATGCGAAGTAATTGCAATATGAACATTTGACAACTCAGTAATAAGTGCACTTTAAAAAAAACAACCTAGCTGGAGGTTTCAATATTCGTCACATTTCAGAATAATTGACAGCAATGTAGATAAGGCATAAACTTTATTAAATACATTTTGGGCTCTAACCAGAAATACCCCACACTATCCTAGACTTGGGGAATCTAAGGAGACATATTCTGATATCAGATAGCATCTGTGGGTTTTGCTCTTTAGCTATAGTGGTTTTATTAACTTTTACATGCTGGTTCCAAATGGTTGCTTTATATAGATGCAGTACAGGTGCTGGGATTGTCTTGTAGTTTTCCCCCCCAGAAAATCAGGTGATTGGTTTCTTTACTTTATGGTTGGCATGCTTTCCTCTAACTGTACCCGTTGCTTGCATGAACAGTTGTGGAAGAATAAATGAATGCAAATTCTTCACAAATAGATCTGAACATAATGAAAGTAAGGTCCTTAAAATCCAAATTATGTATCCACAACATTTTTGCAATGTTTTATTTACCGAGATTTGATTTCACCACTCTTGCACTGGACCCATTAATCCTAGGACTGACCCTGTCATGCCTCAGCCCTCCACCAGGAGGCTGAGAAGGATATCCAACCAATGCCTAAGCCAAATCCTACCTGCCTATGGAATCAGTAAAGTTGTGGCCAATTTCAAATCCTAGAACATTGTCTTGCCCAGTCTGTTCACCTTCTTGAGCTACTAGGCCTTGCTCCCTGGACAGGGGTCACTGCGAGTAGGTCCGCAATGATAATGTAAAACTAAATCTTTCACTTGTGGGGCAAAACACATCTCCCATGTAATGTCCACAACTGAAAAGTTGGATCACTAGCTTTTCCACAGGTAGCTTCTGAAGGTGTGCTCGCATACCTAATAAGAAGCGCATAAGCTTTGCGTATGGAAAGTACAGCTTCCAGTTGTACATAAACTTTGTGCATCTCCTTGCAGGGGAGAAATACATAATTTTCCATTGGAAATTGTCACCTCTTAACTATTCATAATTGATAAGCGTTATTTCTCGTTCACTTTCAATAGAAAGAAAATTGAGTTTACCCTATGGTCCTTACTGTAAGTTCATATCTATTTGGGTCTGACTTTTTCTTCGCTGTCTTACTAAGAAAAATCAGGATAATTCTCTGGTGTTCATTTAAACTCTATGAAAGCAAATATAAATAATGGTGGTTTTGGGGGTGATTTGTCAAATATATTGTTCATTTCTCCTCACCTTTCCCCCTCTTAACTAACACAGCACAACATGCCTTTCTGGAGAATATCTAGTCACTCGGACCTCCTGGCTCTACACCAAGCGCTGGAATTAGAGTATTTGTAACTGCTGTCACATAGTTGACAAATACTTTTTATATTTCAAAGTACACTGATATTTTTTATGTGTGATCCAGTGCCTCTGGCTTTTACACATATGTATGGTCTTAAGAAGGAAAAGCAATATTTGGAATGAAAATTCCATTGTGAAGAATTGAGATCACGGATTGGTGGAGTTACAAGTTTTAATTCTACACAAGGATGTTCTACATGGTCTTATACACACAACATTTTTGACGATTAAAGAACTATAAAAGAAGGTTGCTGGTACACACCAATGAGCCCTAGCCAGAGTGAACAGCTTTTGCAATGGACTCAGACTGGGAAAGCAATGACACGCGTTTTCTGATCGACAAGGGTGGTATTCAACAACATTCCTCACTATGGGATATATTCTCAGCACTGAGGTTTGAATCAAACTTTAGTCTACCTAACCCAAAAAATCTGAATTGGAATGTACTCAAACTGTGCATTGACAATCCTGTCTAGATCTGTAATATGTGTAAATTATTGATGAAAATAATTTACTGTGACTTTATTAGCAGCTGACTTTGGAAGTGGATGCAATTTCTTTCATTTTGGAGGTGTGTGGGATGGGGGTATATAATAATTATTATTGTCTCTCTTATAAGTTTGGCAAACAGAATGTGCATAATGATGTGTTGTGCCTTAAAAGACAAGATCTTGTTTGTGTGTTACAATGTAACATTGGTTTAAAATAATGTAGATAAAAGAAATAAACCTTTGTGATAATTTTTGAGATGACCAAATTTCAAATTCAAATAATCAAAAGACAAGGGTGTGTATCAAAAGCACTTAAAAGTTTGTTGCAGTAAGGGGTGGGGGAAGTATAATAATTGACAGCTGGTGCTTTTATTTAGTTTCTTAATAATTCCACAGATTGCAGGAGGCAAGTAACTTAAGAGAATGTCAAGAGGCTGAAGTGATATTGGGCACTGTGGGATTAATAATTAAAATGGCTGATTACTTGAGAACCATTTCTCCATTTTCATCTTTAAAGGAAGAAAACAAGTACTTGCACTGCAAGGAGCTTGATTTCATAAAGTACATGTAAGGAGCCGCAAATTATTTCCCATTTACCAAGTCTCAAATTGTTAGCCAGTAGGTTACATGAAAACATGGTTGATTCCTTCAAAAAATATACAATGTGCCCTCTCCTTCCTTGTGTGCTGTTCTGGGGGATTCTCCCAACCCACCCAAGCCAATTTGGGAAATGTGTACAGGGGAAGAAGAGTGAGGAACTCTCTTTGAGCAAGTGGAAATCCTTGTGTGGGCTTCTGGTAGTGGGATCAGTTATCTGGCCCTTGGTAGCCACCATTTTGTTGGAGTACAGTTCAAATTGCCTCCCCATTGACCATGCTGGCTGAGGCTAATAAGACTTATAGTGCAGCAACATTGGGGGGATGGGACACTATGTTCACTAGTCCAACTTTAGGTTGTTCACAGTATGTTGTAGCCAACAGTCCAGGAATTTCCACCAGCATGTTGTTTATTAAAACATTTTCTAACTAATTTTAAGCTTGGAGAAAAAGTTCAGCATAGCACTCAATGGAACTCTTTCCTTTCTCCCCTCTGTGGTCAGCCCTTTACCACACATATCACGCATGCTAGCCATTACTTTCAACAGTAGACCAGTGTGTGTGTCCTGTATTCTTACCATCTCCATGGCTCCAGCTTGCAAGTTACTCTGTGCATGTGTAGCCACTGTGTGTGTGTGCATGCCATTGCTCACAATGGCGGGACAGGATGTGCTTTCCATATACCTATCCAGCCATTATATGCTCTGCTTTCTAGCTCTCTGCCTACCAGTTACACCTTTTGTTGACATGTGGCTTGTGGAATGGATGCTTGGGAAGGAGAGAGGTAATACTGGGGCAGCTATAGATCAGCCCCTTATTAATGCCTGCTGCACTATGGTATGCATGCATGGCAAAGGGCCAGCTGGATACAGACAGTGCTCCATGGAACTGTTTTCAGATACCCTCCTACAGACACAACTGCATTTGTGTAGGGTGAATGATGTACTTAATTTTCTATTTTTTATATTGAAATTCTAATTATTGGAGTAAATTTATGTCATTTTATTTCTGAAAAGGTTTATCTTTAATAACAGCACTGGTGTAGAATAATTCAGTGTGATAATTCGGTTTCTGGTTTTCTTTCTAGTAATGTTCCAGGAAAGAGAATTATATATACGTGTCCCTACACTCTTGTTCTCTACTTTGCAGTCCCAGTGTTTTAATTAATCTCAAATAACAAGTTCTCCAGTATCGACTTTTGGTGCAAAAGATCCTTAAAATAGTGTATGATGAGCCATATGCCATCCCACTATGCAGTGGGTACATATATACTGTTATTTGGGAGGATGAAAAAACTTCAAGTTTTGTAGCTTCAAAGATAAAAAGGCACATATGCAGTTATGTCATAAAAATAATCAGTTTGTGTGAAATGTAACCCATTCCTGTTTTCCCATTTGTAAGGTTCTTTAGTAAACGCACAACCTTTACAATAACTGATGTGCACAGAAATCAGTATTTTAGCTCCCTAGGGCACAGAAAAAGAGGGCAGAGGAACAGGCGTTAAGTGAATCAGATTATAATGTGAATGTAAAACCTGTACTACCTGCAATTGACATATGCAGCACAATCCCACGCGTGGTTACGCAGGAGTACATCCAACTGTGTTGAGTGTGGCTTATTTCCAGGAAAGTGTGCACAGAATTGCAGATTCAGATTCTCTGCTGTGCTGTGTCCTGCATTAACAATATTCGTAACCAGCCGGAGAGAGGGTCAGTGTTGCGACTTCTTAGGCTAATGTGTAAAAGTGTTTTTCACTGATGCAACAATAGCCAGGAAGGATGGGATATATAGTCAAAAATATCTGGAGGGCTCCATATGGGCTGACCCTGTGCTAATCTGTGCTGGATTTTGCCCTTGTGGACATACCAAAAAGGAATACTTAAATCATCATGTCAGATAATGAAGTTCCTTGCTCCGCATTGATGCATTCCGATGCATAAATCTGAGTGAGATATCTCTTTGGTTCAACTACTTACAGGCTATTGATTCAAGGTTTTTTGTTTAAAGGAAAGGTACTTGGCATATATACTTTTTTAAAAAGGCAGCCATGTTGGTCCATAAGGGAAAACTCCAAAATCTGCAGCTTGAATGTGTTTTTTAGGACCAACCAAAATGTCACTAAACAGGAGAATTTTGAGTTCCCCCGAACTTGTCATCAAGCTAGACTCGTGTTATAAATGTAGATTTCTTGCAGAGATTTTTTCTTCAACCATTTTTAAAGAGATATATTCCAATGACACACAGAGAATGAAAACCAGCTTATGTTGACAAAAATGTAGAATACCATTAATGCATATTTTATTCTTCAGAAATAGTGTGTAGTTGACAGTATGATGTGGTCACAACAGATACACAGTTCTGATGTGGTCTGTATTCATTGAGTCCCCCCCCCCAATATTTCCATTAATATTCTGATTCACAAAAACTCATATAAATGATGTTGATGCTGGAGGGAGAGGGGGCTAGGTTTGCAATTGCAAGCCCTTCTACACCAGCCTCTGTGTCTAGAGAGAAGTGAGGTCTGTAGGCCTCCACTGCAGTAACAGCCCAAGTTTTGGGTAACCTGCCTCCAGTGTTGTCCCAAAATGGTCATTTTGTGGTGGGGCACACAGAAATTCAACGTTCTTCAGATTCCCTGAGGGGTCTGATCCTCAGCTATACCAGCCTTGAAACTGTCACAATAAAAACTGGTGGAAAACACCCTCTTCCTGTTCTCTGACCTAGCTGGCAGTAATCAAAGAGAAAATCTTAATAACAATTACCGTATTTTTTGCTCTATAAGACTCACTTTTCCCCTCCTAAAAAGTAAGGGGAAGTCTTATGGATGCACAGCTATCACAGAAGCCAGAACAGCAAGAGGGATTGCTGCTTTCACTGCACAGCGATCCCTCTTGCTGTTCTGGCTTCTGAGATTCAGAATATTTTTTTTCTTGTTTTCCTCCTCCAAAAACTAGGTGCGTCTTGTGGTCTGGTGCGTCTTATAGAGCAAAAAATAAGGTATTTTAAAAGAGAGAAAGAATGAACGAACACTCTTCAAAATGCAAAAGGGGTGGGGGGGAGCAGAGGGCTTCAGCGCTGACTCTTCCTCAGCCCTGGCAGAATACCCAGGAATCAAAATTGCCAAAATTCTGGATACAGAAACAAACTGTGTCAAATACTGAGCTGCTGTGTGATAAAACTCTGCATGGAAAAAAATGGAATGTTGCCACTGAATTTTGCCTTAGGTGAAATTTGAAGCAATTTTGAATGTCCTCATTTAGGTAAAATATCTGTAGGAATTTTGATAAAAGGGGAAGAACTGCAGTAAGAGCAGGGAACTTTCTCAGAGGAGAATGGAGGGAGCTTCACACATCTCTAGGGAAGCTAGAATTTAAGGCATGCCAGAATATTTCAACCAAAGCAAGGTTTTGTGCAAATTGAAATTTGGTCATTTGGATCGTGAGTTGTATTTTATATCATTATATATATGCAATCAAAAAACTTGTCCTCTTAACTCTTACCCTACCACAGAGAACACAAATATCCCATGTTTTAAAAGGTTGTGCAATTAAAATAGTGAACAGTGTGCCTTTGCAGTTGCTGTACCAATATAAATGGAAACAGCACATAAATATTAAGCACTTTGAATATTGTGCTTAAGATACAGAAATAGAGCACAATTTGAATGCATGTAAATACAAAGAAATAAGGGAAAGGTGGACTCAATTCAGTAAACCACTAAACTGAAAAGTTAAAAAAAAAGCAATATATGCAGATTGTGCACAAAAATATAGAGCACAATTTATCCCCACAGTGCTCAATAGAGCCTCCCTCCCTCCCACAGGCCCTTGGCTAAAAAATACACATAGTGTAGTATATCAGTCATTACCTGTTTTGGGAGGCCCAGATGTAGCCCACAACTGATAAGAGCCACACACACAAGCTACCCATGCTCTGCTGTTGTGTTGGAGGAATTGTTTTTACTGTACTGCTGGATTTAACTGGGTTTCTTTAAATCTCAAGTAGGAGCAACAACTTGAGCATGCTGTAAAGAAGTAAGCAGTATGTCTGCAGTATGTCTGTGTGTTTAAACTCCAAACTTTGAACTAAATGCTCCTGAAATAATAGATCAGAACTTAATCTAAATCTTTCCACATGTTGAGGGCGTATAAGCTATGCCCACTGCAGTTTTAGATGTGATTTTCATTTCAGATTTATTGGGGTAGGGTGGGGTGTTTTGGAGCCATGTCTAGATGCTTGAATAAATGTGATATTTAGTGTCTTTAGAAGGGAACTTAACTGACATGAGCCAATATTGCATTTGAACTCCCAGCAATTGCAGCCTTGTGGAACTGTTGAAGCCAAGGGTCTATGTAATGTAAGTTGTGATTTATTTGGGGATAACATTATTTAAGAAAATGTAAATTAATATTGAAAGCTTGTAAAAAAATGTGTATATCTTTACTATTTCTCAATAAATACATGTGGAAATGTTGTCATTTTCTGCACCATCCCCATGCTACACTATCTTTCATTTTCTGATGGAAATTGTGCTTTTCATACAGTTGATATTTGCCCAGATCCACAGGAGAACAATTTTTTTTTTTGGCGGCGGGGGGGGTGGGGTTAAAGATTAAAATCCCAGTAAGGTGAAATCAGGAGAACTGAATCCAGCTCCTGCTCACACTCCCAAATAACTGGTTGCAGGAACTTTAATCTTTTTGGAAAGGCTTGCATTCATGGCTAGTCTCAGGTGTGGGAACATTAAATTTTATATCCTTCTTTTCCTCCAAGGTGTTCATGGCAGCACATATATAGCCTCCTCTACCATCACCATTTTATCCTCACAACTGAAGAGTGAGACTGGTCACCCAGTGAACTTCATGGCTGAGTGAAAATTTGAACCTGGGTCTCCCCAGACTTAGTCCAATACTTCTTCCACTGTACCATGCTGAGTTAGAAAGGAGTGCTTGCTTTTTGAGCATGGTACCACCTGAGAGTGGTACCATTGCTACCACTGTCCTAGGGGTGCAGGAACTTTTAGTCCTAGTCCTCAGCAGGAAAAAATGTGCCACCTGGAACCTTGATCACCTGCTTTCCCCTTTCCTTGCCCAAATACCAGTTTCTGGGCTTTGGAAGAAGGGAGGTGTGGTGGAGGTAGGTGCTTTTTGAAGTGCCTCCAAGCCATGTGGCTGTTTGAAATGCTCACAAAAGTTGAAAAGCTTTGGGGATCAGTAGTAGAATGCTCATATATTGACTTCAAATATATTTTCTTGCAGTTTTCAAAAAACTAAACAAAACCTGAAATAATGCAGCTAAGCATTGTGTGTAGTTTGAGCCTAAGTAATTAGGAAGAACCCACACACAAAGCTTTTCTCAATATCAATGCTGCTTTAAGTATTTGCTTACATCCACTAATCATCAGCTTTGGTAATCGTGTGTATTTTTTGAAAATGACCCCTTGGGCTATAATGTAACGCAGGCAGTTTTGCAACGGGGCCTTTAGCCTTTTATATTTAAAATTGGTTTTTGCAAACATTCAAACACATCTCCCTGCCCTCAAGTACACTCGTCTGCTAACTACCTGACTCACTGTAGTTTTGTGGGCATCGGGTACAATCCTGAACTAAGCAGTTGTATACCTGTGAAAAGACTGACCTTTCAACTTTTAATGTTACGTTTGCTCCAATAATGAACCAACAAATCATTAGCTTGACATTAATAAGCCGTTTGCTTAGATAGCTATATCTTCTTAAGTAGAGTAGCTATTTTATGGGTGAAATTGCTTGTTTAAAAACTTTTGGTGCACAGATAAATTTCCATAGCATGACCAGAAAATACCTCGTTTTAGCAGATGGTAAAAGTGTACATAATTAACGTATTCAGTATTCCCCCCCCACCCCCAAAGCTGGTAAATGCAACTTATTAGAATTTCCTCTTGAAAGCTGGATTTATTAGCTTCAAAATACTGAGACTTTGCCAAATACATCTCTGGGAGATTGTATCCTGTGTTGCCATCTGTATTACACTAGATTCCAACAAGACAAAATTGAAAACTCTTGGGTGGCTCTTGTCCTGTCACATTCTATTCAAACTTAAGGGTAAGGACACCTCACTCTTTTAGTCCCCCTTTTCACCTCTTCATTCTTCTTTGCTTTGCTTTCTGGGTTGTTTCCCCTCCCCCCTTTTCCATTTTAAAATAAAGTGTGATGGGTGTACCATTTATTTCCCCCAAATGAGTTTAAATTCATCATATTGGTAGTACCTAATAAAGTTGCATGTTTAACAATGTTAAAGGAAATCAGGCATTTTAATGTTTAATTTGGGGGAGGGACCATATTTATGTAGTGTTACAATAATACTGTTTACTTGGCTTCTTGCAGTCTATTCATCATTTGCAATACCTCTTCACAATATGCTTTTCAAAACTAAGCACTGGAATGCTGAGCAATAATTCAGAATAACCCATAAATAAGGCAGCCCAATTGACCCTTGGGTGTTGGCAGATATAGAAAGAGGGGTGCATGGTCTAATATTAATAAATGAGGCAGATTTGTTGGTTCAGCCCTGCTTCTTTTCTATCCATTTCAGTCAACCAAGTGCTTCTTCACAGTGCTTTTATTATTAAAACAGTAACACTACAATAATTTCTATGAGAGTCTCACCCTGAGGCAGCTTCTTGGTATGTCCATATTTTTGAGTCTTAAGTAGACGCAAACATGTTTTTTTTACCATTTTCCTGAGAGAGAATTTGCATGAGAGGTGCCGCTACTGAAAAATAAAAATGTAAGAAAGCTATACTTGGACTGTGTTACTTGTTTTACAGTGAAATATACACAAATCCTCTTGAGCCCAAATCTTGCGTTAGCTGGATTAGAGTGCATAACCAGATTATTCTCAATTTTAAGGTATTTGTGGGGAGGGGCTGTACTTCATGCAAGTTCCACAGGGCACCCTGCAATATACCCATATCCACATCCAACACCCCCCCCCTCACCTAAATCTGCATAAGTTCCTAGTGGAGAGGGCATTTCATATTTTAGGTCATTACTGATCACAACAGGAGTAGCAATAAAAAGAAAAGAATGGTTAAGCGCAATGCCTTATTAAACACGTCTCCAGAAATTACATTTGTTGCCATTTGAACTTCAGCAATGAGGTGGACAATCAGAAAGGGAAGATGAGGGGAAGGGTAGGCATTGTAAAATGCAAAATTTTGGATATATGCAATTACAACTTGTTGAGACAAAGAAATTCAATAAAAATGTATATTTAAAATTATTTTTAAAATAATTTTGGCAGATAATTTCACAGCTGATGTGCCACTACCATGAAAACCCTGCTCTGCATAACCACTAACTGCTTTTGAGATGGGGAACAGGGAATGACAATGGCTAGGGTGAACTGGGAGCCATATAGGAGGAGATTTTCAGATCTCTGCTGCTGGTGCTTCCTTTTTCTTTTCTTTTCTCCCTTACATTCACACACATACAAACACAGTTAAAAACTGGCACTCTGGTGTTTGTGTGTGTGTCCCCAAAAAAGTTGTGGGTTTCATTCATTTTTAAAACAGTTCTATATACTGCCCTTAAATTTAAATGCTTTACAGTAACTAATAAGAGCACATGCACATAAGCAATGGAAGGTAGTGCTAAAAAATAATAATAGCAGGAGAGAAATAACACCAGAGATTATAATCCCTTTACATAAGCATAGATGCCAGATGACCCTTTTGAGGGAGAGAATTTTACAAGTGAACTCCAGAACTCAAAATGCAGC